CTGCAATCCAATCAAGGACCAGCTGAAACAGATATACAGGCGGGACCAGAAGTTCTGGGCCAAGCGGCCGCTCACCCGCGAAATGATGCTGTACGCGGCTGGCGATGTGCTGGTGCTCATCCACGATCAGCTCTTTGGCAGTCTGGCGCGGCAGATCAGGCCAGAGAACAGGCAGCTTTTCTCCGAGCTGTGCACGGAGCAAATCCTTCTGCAGATCAAGCCGAACGAGGTGAAGATTCGCAAGAAGCAGCGCAAGGTTAGCACCGAGGTGTCCGATCTGAAGTTGAAATTGGCGCAGACCAGCAAGAGCATTGTGCTTTCGAACCGTGAGATACGTCTGCTGCGGTGAGTAATCCTTCTGTCTCAATCAATCAATCGATCAAGAGCTAATCGTGGTATACATCATAAACAGTTACATGGATCTGACGGAGGATGAAAAGGAGCGCCTCAAGGGCTACTACAAGGTGGCCAAGAAGCTGGAAAAAATGGAATCTGCCGGCAATCCCAGCAAGTGAGTGCCGAAATAGTTATAAAAGTACACCAAACCAAACTGAACCTTGTTGAATCCTGCAGGGATCAAAGTGACTCTGAAGACGAGGCGGAACCCAATGAAAACGAAATGTTTCCCAGCTTGGACTCTGTACCATCGGACAATTCCCTCTCGGGCACCTTTTCGCCGCGCTTCAGCTCTGAGCCACCCAGCCTGACGGAATCCATGCAGATGCTGGAGGAAATACTGCAGAACAAGTCAATGGATCGCATTGCGCGAATTGATAAGCTAGAGGCCATACTGACGACAGCCACCTCGTTGCCATGCGATCAGGTGAGCATCCGTCACAGCTCCCATCGTATTTGTAAACTAATTTAAAACATTTCTAATTTCTTTCATACAGATACTGGCTTCCAATTCGATTCAGGAACAGTTGGGTTCGAGCATTGCGACCACAGATAATTTGCAAATCATACGCGAAAAGTCCAGAAAGTGAGTGTCTCTTAGCGGAGAACATCAGGCTAATTCACAAACTCTAATTCTCTTGAACTCTATCTCAACAGCAATAGGAATTGCAATTGCCAAGGAGAGCGCAGTGTCACGCCCATTCTGAGAACGACGGACAGGCGGGTGGTGAAGCTGGTGGATGCCGAATCGCAGACCCTGAGCACCGGCGACGTCGTCATCACCAAGATATTCTTCCAGGACGAGCATGAGCGGGCCAAGGAGACGGCAATGCTTAGCAGCTCGCCCACGAAGCGTGTGGCATCCACATAAACAACGTGTCAATCTTCGAACCATGATTCCTAACAATCAAAGCAAAGCGCAGACATATTACGTATTATTATTTTTCTGTTTTTAACTGTTGCGAGACTCGAGGAGAAGACGAAGAGAAAGACAAAGACAAAGGGCGGTGTCCCGAGCACCCACTATCGACTATCGATTATGCAATAATAACTTTTATGGGTATATCCAATTGAGAAGCAATATATTTTGTGCCTAAATGTTGAACATTGCAATAACAATAATATATATGAGTATGATTTACCAATTGTAAATTAATGGCCTCCCAAACGAGCTACTGTACGAATCGCACTTCTCAGCGGTGACCCCATCCCATCCCATTCCAGAGCGGAGTGGGGTCTGAGGTCTGAGAATCCGTGTTGCATTCGATGAGACAGATGAAAGGTGGATAGATGGGTAGGTCTCAGATTGTTTTGTTTTTGTTCATTATGACCCTAAATCAGCGCCAAACAATCAATGAAAATGTATGTGTAAATGTGACATAGAAAGCTTTGCGATGTATTAGCGAAATGATTAATGATTATTATAATCTGCGTTGGACCAATGTGTATTAAATCGAGATGAAATAATTCAAATGCAGCTTTGTAGAGGTTTCCTAATATGTATCTTTGTCGCCATATCAGAAGTGAACTTATTGTATTTTAACCATAATTAATTCTTTATAAACCCAAACTAAACTAAACGTTTATTCAACTCAATTTTAGTTTAACCAAACAATCTTATTAATTAATTAACAAAAAGCAATTCTGTAATCAATCTAAGTACATACATAAATGAGAGTTAATTGTAAAGGAAAGCATATTGAAATTGTACGATTATAAATGATATTTCTAATTGAATAAAACGTGTATATACAAAAATATATTTAACGAAATATTAATATTAATATTATTATTAAGAAATATTATTCAATTTCCACCACTCCGCCCCACGGGGCTACTCAGTGAATTTACACAAGAAAATTGGTTGGTGGGGGCGAGGGAAGGGGTTTTTTATTCAACGACATCAAGAGGTTTTAAACATTGATTATTGAATATTGATATATAAGTATATATATGTATAGATATTGAAATTTGTGTGTTGTTTGTGTAAATACATTTATGTTTGTGTTCAGTTTATGTTGGTATAAGTATGTCTGATTCTTTCATTTTAATTCTTATTGATTATTCGTATAGTATAGGGAGTTTTCCCAATTAAAATCTAGTTTTATTTTATTTTATTTTATTTGTCAATCATCTAGATTCAAGCGAGAGGTGCTCTCCATAACAATGAACCTAATCGATGCTGAAAAGGTAACATGGTTGTATGGATAAAAAACTCATAAAATGGCATTAATAGACATCGAAAAATTCACATGTGTACATACAGACATATGTGTATGTACATATGTACTCGTATATGTTCTATAATGTACTGGTTTTAATCAATTGACTTCTGAAAACAGCAACCATGTTTAAACCGGTTCCAAACATCAATTTGTTAAATATTCTTACCTCTAGCAAGATAAAATACACTTTAAGGTTTCAGCTTGAAGTGTATTTCACTTTTGGACTTGTTCCAGCTTGTTTTGCAATTGCCTTGCAGTCGCTTTATTGCGCTTTTATTAAATTCGAGTAACTTCAGCTCTAGTGTGACTACCGATTACAGCCTTCTTTTGAGCTTGATAAAAGAGTGTATATGTGTATATGTGTATATGTATGTTGTGTAGAAATTAGAATATATGTATAATAATTCACCATTCAGTTGCACTGTCGTTCCATTAATGAAAACTACAACAACAAACTAAAGAGATATAGTCGAGTTTTCCGACTATTAAATACCCAGTACTCGGACTTATTGTTCTGTTGTATAAAGATTGTGTGGTTTATAGCGATTGAAATGGCAAACGATCGCGGAGACAGTGAGACGGTAATTGGTTCGCACACTGGAATGGACCAAAATCACCCAATATCAGATATCACCTGGACAGACAAAACGGACAAAAGAATACAAGTGTTCATTGTAGGCATATTGAATCGGAATCAGAGTCTTTCTGCCCGACATTTATGCATCCACTACGAATACCAGGTTCAATAAATGTATTGAAACACGCACAACAAATCTTATACTAGAGATGCCATATAGGCAATAAGCTATTAGCTATCGCAAATATATATACTCATTTCATGTACTTGTTTATGTGCAAAGGAATACATTTTTGTTCTATATATATTTGCTTTGATCACATCTTTGAATCTCTCCATAGCTCGTTAGATATATGTACAATTTGGTTCTAACTCGCTTTATTGGACTGTCTGCTTGGTGTCGTCTGGTGAAGTGTCCATTACTAGGTTTCTTATTTCGCGGCTTACTTTTCGGTTTAGGTATGTGTGTACTTATTCTACAAAAATTCAATTTCTATTTTCTGTTTATTTCTTTTCCATCGAACGATGCTTAAATCTATCCCATCCTTGTCTTTCAGCAAATTTTAGTGTTGCGACTTGCCAGCGACTTTTATCGCAGGACTTTCCGGACTTTACATTGCCCGCCTTTCTCCTTTTGGATATTTGCTCTGAACCTTAATATTTTAGACTATACTAATTCGTAAGGATTTCCTGGGAAACCTGCATATGGAGTCGAATGTCCATAAATGCAAAAAGTACTCATAAAAACGATTTTTGTTTAACTTGTATACTTATGTATGATTGAACCCAGTGATTATTCGGTATTTGCAGCGTTATGTGCATAGAGTGAGTACTTATTGCACAGAACGCACTGAATATTAGCTTAGGAGATTGAACAAAGAGAGTTCAGGCCAGGATAGTGAAACGGAATTATGAAGGGAATGCCAATGTTCGAATTTTTACAACCCAATAGAGCAGAAAGCTGAAAAAGCTGTCAGCCTGGACATGGGCAAAGTAGACTTCAAGCGGATCCTTAGTGTCGGAGGTATCGTCAATACAGTTTAAATATCACTTAATCTAGATAATATGTTGTGTTGAGTGTACATCAATGTAAATTCGTGTTATTTCGGTTAAATTCTTAGCTTACAAATATTCTGTGTGTAGTCTGAACTCGCTAAATATGGAAAGGAAACGTTCATTTACACATACACATATTAGTCACATTTCGCTTACGTATATCATAGACATTGAATGCCCCTTCAAGTAAGGTATAAGGTATAAATAAGATACATAAAAATAGACATATATACATATAATATATGTATTTACTATCCTTACAAGAAAAGCTCTTACGTGTAAAATGGTTTCACCAATTAGTTTCTGTCTTTGGATGGAACTAAAACTAAGAGTAAATCAGTCAATGTTACGGTTCGACGCAAAAGGTGGATCAATAGTTGTGTAAAAGAAAACAATATTCGCATAATTAAAATAAAAATTGTATTTATTTCACTAAAATAACTAAACAAAACATAATACATATGTACAGTGATTATTGCTTGCACATGCAGGAAAGGGTAAACAAGACAGACAGAAAGCTCTTGAGCTCTGAGTTTTTTTCTCTTCCATACATTTGTTTGGTTTTTGGTTTTCTTGAATATTGTATGTACGAGGAGTGTATGCTGTGTCTCATATGGAGAGATCACTGCTGGCTAACCATAGACACTGTAGACTACTCTCGTTGGCACGAGATGGAACGAACATTTCAAATTTCAGTATATATCGAGTATAGTATACATATGTATTGCATGGACACGAAAATGGTATGAATTTTTTATGATTTTTTATTGCACAAATCATTGTGTTCTCCATCGACTACGAGTATTTCCCGCATCGGTGCTACTGGTTCTGATTCTGGTTCGGGTTCGGGTTCTGGTTCTGGTTCCTACTGCTGGTGCTGCTTCCTGTTCCTTTCGCTGCATTTGTTTATGCACTTTCAAAATGTTTCATGTTTTCATTTGTTTGTGTGTGTGTGTGTATGGGGGTGTAATATACGTATATAGAGTTATTCTTTTAATGAGATCAAGTCATATAGCGCATTATCTCGCGCAGAGCATAGAGTAACTCGGCCTGATTGCGGGCTTCCATTATCATCAGATTCACATGAACCTGTTGAGAGGTAGATAGCGAAACAATTAGTTGATAAATCATTCCTGGTGTGTGGATCACAAACCTTTTCACTGTCCTGCAGCTCGACAAGCACACTATCATAATCCTTGGTGGTAATACGCTCGGGAAAGCAACAGGCTGTCTTTATGAACATTTTCAGCGGTCGGACAAGCAGCTAGCGAAAAGCAGTTTCATCAATGAGTATAATCGAATAATAGTGAAAAGCCAGGCAAAATCTTACCTGATTCACTTCCCCATAGTCGTAGTCGTCGTGACGGATGCCGTATATGCACTGTATATAGTTCCAGATGGCCCGTCGGAACTTGGAGGTGTCCACATTCTTGATCCCACCCATGGTGCAGTACGTGAGGTTGTAGGCCGAGCGGAACTTCTCATCCAAATAAGTGCCCACGTCGTTGTACAACCTATTGAGTAGAGAGGACGAAAGTCAGCTCTGAATGAGTGACGTTAGCTCGACCACATACCCATCCACCAGCGAGTAGCCGTGATCCTCCCAGGAGTAGTCCTGTATGCGAAACGTGTTCACATTCTCCGCTCCGCGACGGGCAAAGTCCTGGTAAATGAAATTCGCATCGTCCACATAGTGAGAGATATTGGGGGGCAAGGCCACCGCCGGGCCCGGCGTCACGGCCGCCAGTTCGGCGGTCTGCATCTCCACGTTCTTGAATCTGCTGCTCAGCTCCGCCTCACTGCACTCGTCCTGGTTCTGGGAGAGCACCTTCATTCGCTCCATCAGGGCCTCCACACTGATGCCGTGCTGCTGGGGCAGTTGCTGGGCCGTTGCTGCAATTCAAGCGGATTAGTTTCAACAGAGTGGGAGGCAGCCATTGGCCGTTAATTGCCTACCCAAATACCCATTGAGGGCCGCTGCACCAGCCCCACCACCGCCAGCTGCACCACCGGCACCATCTCCAGGTGCACCTCCGCTTCCATTGTTGCTCGCAGCGTTTTGGGTATTGTAATCCGGCTTTGTGCCGCCGGCGCCGCCGGCGTTGAGTGATATCTCACCCAAAACTGTTTTCTGGTGGACGGGGGTGGTGGTGGTCTGTCGGACGATGGTTGCCGCATTGGCAACGGACAGCAATGGTTGTGGTTGTGGTTGGGGTGGTAGTGGTGGTGGTGCTGCTGCTGCTGTTGCTGTTGCCGGTGCCCCCAACGTGGCAGGAGCACTCTTCAGTTTGGGACTAGACAGGCCATCTAGCTTTTGTGTGAGGCCGCAGGAGAACACAAATGAAGACAGTGAATGGAAATGCGATAGCAGGACCATCGCGTGCACCACCTCCGACAGGGACCAGCTATTTATTCCCTTTGTCAAAAGCTGTGTGCAGCAGGAATTATCGACGACGGAGGAAGGATACTCATTTAATATTTAGTTGGACTGCGAGCTGTCTTCATGTCCTTACCTCAATGTGCTCCTTGCGCAACAGCCAGGGACGATGGGCTAATATTTTATTTATATCGTATATGGCACGTAGTTTGTCGGGGATGTGGTCCAGTCCGCGCAGCCACTCGCTGCTCCCACCCTGATTGATGAACTCCTTCTCGTAGCGCTTCACCAAATACGGACACTGGTGTCGGGCAGCAGCCTGAAAATATACAGATCAGAGCAGAGGATCACAGGTCTATTCAGAGCTCGGTATTCAGGTAACATTTCTCTTCGCACTACGTCATTTGTTTTGATATCTTTCGGTAGCCTTGGCCTCAGATTTGGCCCCCTTCCCACCACGATCCATGCTGAGACCTAAACCAACAGAAACACCGAAAAACAATCCAAGTGACCCACAATCAAAGATCTCCCAGGGTGCGGACCTGGGAGAGATCATCATCATCGTCATCGTCATCGTCATGTTGAACACCTGAATGTGCTAAAAATATTTTGAATCTTCTGGCCTTTGTGTGTGTGTGTGTGTGTGTGTGTGTGTGTGTGTGTGTTGCTGCTGTGACCCAAAATGAGACAAAATATTCAAACATTCAGAGCGTAGGCCCCGTAGTCCATTGTTGTGCTCTATTCTTGTTGTTTTTGTTTTGTTTTTCCTTACGATCTATTACGATCTATGTATCTGCTGATGATGTTGTTGTTGTTGTTGTTGTTGTTGTGGTTGGGGTTGTTGTCATTAATGCTTGTGTGGAGCGCAGAAGCCTAATCATGGCACAGTGCCCCGCGACATGGGATCGTAAATCTTAAATAATTGTACCCGCTCTGTGGATCCCGTCACCTCCCCGCCCCCCTTTGGAGCCAACGATGCGTAGGACACCAACAACACACGCACACACATCGTTTGCCATTTTCTGACACGAATTGAACGATGGTCTCCATTATTTTGCTCAGAGGAATGCCAGCAAATGCTAAAGTCCTCTGATACGACATATATGATATGTATGTATGTACATATATACAAATTCGTAGATATGTACATAAGTTATCGAATTTATGTTTATTTTTATAGGCGTACGCACAGCTAAAATAATAAATTACAAATCTCTCAGTATATTTAGATCCGTTCAGAGAACGTTAACCTTTTATGGACCAACAAAATTGGCCAAATAATTGCTAAATGCATTTTTCTATAATCCGTAATGGTGTTTTCGTATTTTGCTTTCGATTTTCCGCGGGACGGACGGAAAATGTATTCGGTTCTGAATTCGGGGGTGGGGTTCAAAGTCCGTTTGGAACGCCCTCGATTGCAGCGATACATAGGATACATCAATTTTAATTACGCATTTCTTTTACTAATTCGAGGTTTATTTCGTTTTCGGTCGGCCCAAAAGACTTTTATTACAGCAGCAATATGATTTTTTGTTCCGATTGGAAATGATTCAATAATAATTTGTCGATGATCGATGGACGAGAGTTTCTATTGCCCGAGATTTCCTTTTGTAACTTTCCAGCTTTTCAAAATTGAATTTTAATTCACCAGCGTACTGGCCTGGTGGAGGGTGAAGCGGCAGTCGGGGAATAGAATAGGAAGTCATTAGGTTGCATCAAAGTAGACACAAAATATCACAAATTCATGCTAAACACTATTAATGTATAATTCCATTCGATAGAACAAGGCAGGGGCAATAAAGAACCGATGGTATTGATAATTAATATGATATCTCTGTAAGTAGTGCTAAAGGCAAAAGAACAGCAAGAAGAGCGAATGTTTAACTGTTCAAAGCCAGCAACAGGTCTTTCGGTAAAGCGCACGATCATATGCAGAAAGCAGACAGACACGAAGAAAGAAAGAGTCGGAGCGAACAGCCTCGTCCTCTCATCTTCCCTTTCGCGACTTGTTCGCGAGAGAGCAATGAAGTGCAGTTCTAAAGCGCAGCGAATACGAGTATTTGGAGCGGAGCTTTTCGTTCGCGCAGTATACATACATACATATGTATGTATGTATATGTAAAACCAGTAAGCTTCTGATAGACAAACACTATTAGCGGGCGCCCGAAATGATGAGTTGATATTTTCCCCCTGAAACCCCCCTATCGAATATGAAAGTTTGGAGCTCTAGTGCAGTGGTCCGACTTGTCCGTCCGTCCAGCCGTTGCAAATGTGCTCTGCTGACAGAAGCAGCAGCTAATGGAGGCAGTTCCCGTACTCGTGTTAGTTTCCTATTCAATCGGCTCCGTCCCGAAAAAAGCTGCCAGAAACTGCATACGGTTTTGATCTGACAGCGGCTGCCGTGTACGTGCCACGAAAAAAACAACAGATATGGCAAACAATAGGCGAGCAATAGCAATAGCGCCTTTGTCTCTCTCATACATCGAGCCAAGGGCTGGATGGTTCTGGACAACCCGATTAATCCGCAGCCAGAACACAGCCATAGCGTGGCATTGGCGTGCCGTGGAGATACAATCAAATGCGATTGTTTTCCCAATTTCCGAACTGGTGATGTTAATTAAATCATTGGAACGCGTGCGCCTTCCTAAAACACATGAATAAAGAGTAGACACTCACAATTATGGCCAGATAGTATCTGTAGTCGTTGGGCAGGGGTCCGTCGCCCTTCATGATGAAGTTCTGGGTGCGGAGAAAGTGATCGTGAAAGTGCGGATGGTAGCCGATCACCTGCGTCACTTGATCCAAATCGTCGAGATCATCCATGTCAAAGTCTGTGCTTGTGGCTGCTGAGGAACACTGTGGATGGAATCGAGAGTCGTTATTGGAAAATTAGTTGAAAACTAATCGAAGGAGTGCGGGGAAAGTGCGGGGAAAGTGCATGCAAAAACAGGCTAAACTTTTGCTCAAAAGTCAGCTGAGAGTCTTCTCGCTGATATTGGTTGCAATTAGGCTTGCCGCAACATACACACGACCTGTTGCTGCCTGCCACAAATGAATGAAAGCTTTTGCCAAACTAATTTGATATTCGAGATACGGCACCTACGAGTATGGATGTAACAAGCCCCCCAACCACCCCACCGTCCCTTAAGCTCTTCCGATGAAAGCAGACTTCGAAGGCTTAAATAGAATTGCATTGCACCTATTCATTGGGCACTGAATGGCTGGAATCAATAAGCCGTTGCCATAGAAATTCTGTTCGCCTCACAGCCTCCTCGGGAAGGGTCCGATTTGTATTGCATTCCGCCGTTTTCCAGGAAAAAAAAAACCCGCGATGAAAGGGCACACAGCAGGAGATTGAAGACAGTCCTTGGGGAAACCCACCACAAATAATGAAGATACAAGATACATTTACTCCAATCGAATGCTGATGGTGTATTTTTTAGTTTATTTTCCTGTTGTTGTGGTGTGTGGAGTGGTGCCACAAACTGGGACGATGTTATTAAACGTTCAATGACTCCCAACGAGAGTGGGCTCCGCCTCTAGTACATATGTACGTATATTTCTATTTTAATTTCTTGATAGCACAATCTCTCCGGCACCATATAAAAATCGAGTGCGTAAATAGTATGTACATACATATGTAGTAGATCCACATACATGTATGTATGTATGTTTTTGTGTGCTTCGTTGCAGTCAGAGAACCATTCGAGGGAATAGTTGTAGCCACCAAAAATGGTAGTTCCGATATTTGCATAATCAAGTTTAGTGTTAACCTTAGCCACCGCCACCGCCACCGCCCCCGCCACCCACTCGACACCGACACCGCTCAAAGTCACACCCGTTTGAGGCGCCCACGTTCCAGAGCCAGAGCCAGAGCCAGAGCCAGAGCCAGAGCCAGTGCTAATTTCATAATTATTCCATCGAATGAATTAAATTAATAGCCACAAAACGGCACTTACGACACTCGGACACTCGGATGCTCACGAGTGAGAGAAATGTAAATCAGCTAACAACAAAAGTGCCCTGGCTTTCACATACATAATTAATCGAACCGAATGTTCACTAATTAATCGAATGAATGATTAGACGTTATGGGAGCTGTCGGATATAACAAATGCCAAACAAAATTGAAACCAGAGTTGGTCCACAAATCAATTTGATTTATGGGCAAAAAACTATTCGCAAAGATCTTTAAAATCTGATTATTAATATACCTTGAAGGACAGATGGAGGGAGGGAGAGAGAGTCCTGGTAATTGCCCCTGAAATTTAATTAAATACTAAACTTTGACTGCACTTGTTGACTTCCATCATCATCGTCAAAGTTCTGCCATGGAAATAATGGACACCCACACAGACTCAAGGCAAGGCAAGGCAAGGCAGGGCAAGGCTAGGGGATGGGGTAAACCCGTTTGGAAAATCAAACTAGTTTTCGCCTTTGGCATACAGCGCACACACACGACCCAGTCCCAGTCCCAGACCCAGACCCAGACCCGTTCGAGCAGCGGCAGGCAGGGGGCGGGAGGTGGCTTAGGCTTAGGCTTAGGCCATGTTTAATATTGGGCATATGCAAGGGCGTTAATTTGAAAAAATAATTATTCTAGCTGCATAGTAATTGGGTAGCCTAGATGCACCAACAATCAATGAAAATGATCGAAGGAGATGGAAGCACTGCACGCGGTCCTGAGGGCGCACATGGGTGGTGTATGTAATGATGGTGTACGGGATGTTCGATAATTAATCCCTGGTTGAGGTTGAGCCTCTATCTACTACCCAGTCAGAGCCATGCACATGAATGCTTCTCATCCGGACTTAAGACTTCTCATTAAATTGAGTAGAAGAACCTTTGTGCACCCATTCAGCTGCATGATTATTAATTAATGCGGAAATCCTTTGGATTCGCAGGAAATCAGACAAAAGACTTGGGGGAAGTGTTTCAGAAGCTTCGGGCTGTTAATTGAGATCAAGTGCGGATAATTGCATACTGCAGAGGATTTGGAGAAAACTGGAACATTTCACACCTCCAGGAGCGTCCTACCACCGTTCAGGCTGCACTGAGAGAAAGCACAGCCATGTTGAGATCCAAGTGCAACTATTCGGGGCTCAAAGCTTTTATTCTCTCTAGGTGTACAATACAATACGAGCACTTACACTCACCATCTCTCTCTCTCTCTCTGTCTCTATATCTCCGCCGGATGCAACGCAGCTGTTTACGCTCTTGGAGCTTATGTACGTATGTTAATTGCGGGCAATTAATTTCAGTAAGCTAATCTTGATTTCCTTTCCTCTTTCCAAGACAAATTAATAAATTAACATAATTAACGCAAAGCAGAGTGGAGCGGAGGGGAGTGGAGGGGAGCGGAGTGGAGCGGCGTGGAGCGGCGTGGAGCGGCGTGGACAATACATTTTTGTGGTGTAATTTAGCTCTGAAATATGTATCATTGTTTTCCATCCACACCACTCTGGATACTCTCTCACACACTTGAACACTGAGCACTACTCATATTCAATCACTCATACACACGCACACTATGCGGTACGTATACTATTCAAACACAGTGTCAACACACAACCCCACAAACAGATTAAAACAAAAGCTGGTAAACAGGCAAATAAATTAGCATAAATGGTAGAATGCCATAGATGGAGGCGAAGAGAAGGGAAGAGAAGTGAAGCGAAGCGAAGAGCGAGGGACGGGGACACGGATAGATAGGCAGACAGACAGGGAGATAGACTTATGAATAGTGGGGGCGGGTGGATGGCGGGGGCCACGAAAAACAATAAGTAGGTAAACAAGTAAAGTGGAAAAAACGTCAGGTGTTGTAGAAATGCACACGAGAGACAACAACGACGCGAACAAAACAAAACAAAAAACACACACACACACACACACACACACACACAAGAAAGCAAAACCAAAAACCAAAAGCCGTGCCACAACGAGGCGGAGAATACCCTAAGAATTGAGAGTAAACCAAATTTATGGTATTCCCAGGATCAAAAGGGGGATTTAAATGTGTAGAATATCCGCCAAGAGGCATCTCAATTTTTGGATCTCATAGATCTACAGTGATCTGTATGCCTTATAGCCGAATAAAACGCTTTCCAATACTACAGCTCGAGTACTCGAGCTCGGGAAACAAAAACAACATAAACAAAATAAAAAAATAAAGCTTAACTCGCGTATGAAAAAAAACAGAAATTGTGCAAGCGTTTTGTTTGTGTTGTGTGCCTGTGTGTGCGTAGATAATAATAAAGACATGTCTAGACGTGATAAACTATTTTTCCTACAGGCCACAACCACTATCACTACTATATACCACATACCACATACATATGTACATATGTACATATGTATGTATGTACGAGTTCGATTACAGTTTTCCCCCTGCATTGCATTGGCGAATATTTAATTAGATCTACTCGTATTTACTCTGTGAATAGCAAACAACAAAGTGTGTATGCACCGATTGTTGACACAAACAATCGTTGCTGTTAATTAAATTACTGAATTATTGGCACATTTTTTCTCATATTATGTTTTGCAATAAAAATCCCGAACAATGCTTTTATTGCTGCTTAGATATGCAGCTAAATCATATTTTGCACTCTGTTTTTACTTATTGATTGACATTTTATGGCCAGACGGCGACAGACAAACAGACAAACAGACAACCCATCTCCCCAGAGCTGGGGCCGTGGCTGGGGCTCCCGCCAGTCCATTATCTTCTGCATGAAATGGGGGGTGGTGAGGGGAAAATGTCAGGTATTGGATAATCAGGGAGGCAGCGAGACTCAAAGAAGGTAAATAGCATCTTCTATAGGATTGAAATTGATTAAATTCCTCTTTTATTTCCATGGCTTTTAGCTTAAATTTACATCATTCTTTTCCCTGGCGAAGGCTCTTCTTTGTCTTCACAGATTAATGGGGATTATTTCGAAAGCAAAAGAATCACCTTTGGCCTTAATTAATTAATCTGAACCTCTGAACAACGAGATACATATATTGGTTCTGTTCGCCAACGTTTGAGATGTTTTTCACATCACATCACCCCACCTTCCGACACTCAACACATTGACCCACCTCAATATCCATCTGTGTGAGTGATTGGGCGGGAGGGGGGTGCCTTCGTCTACCCAAACTCTACCCAAGCTGTCTGGCACTCAGAGCGACACTTTGTCTGCTGATAAAGTGCCGCACAAATTATTAGGTGAACAGAAGAGAACACCCGTCTCCATCTCCATCTCCATCCCCATCACCAGCCTCTGTAGGACATTGTATTTACGAGGCATATCAAATGTCGGCAAGTTTCTCTCTAGCACTTACGTTGTACATCCCTTCACATATATGTATGTAAAAAATACTGTCATCTTCCACTGATAACCGCCCACTGATAACTCTCTCATTCTCTGTCTGTATGTCGGACAATGCAAATCGCTGGACAAATGGCAAGTGATCCGACAAATTCTATATTTAGCCAACGCAAGGTCAACGAACTATCTAGAACTACCCATGTACATGTGTATACCATGTATCTGCATCTGTATCTGTATCTTTATACTCGTTTCGTTTCGAGTAACTTGCATTAATGGGAATGCAGCAAGTATTTTGTTGACATTCACGGGCTCTGAGGGGCAAAGTATAAAGGAAAACCCATCTCATATAATAACGATACCACATCCATTCAGAACAAAAGATACGATGAAAATATTATATATTATACGAGTTCATACATATACGAGTAAATTTTAGCTTTTCGCTGGAGGGAAGGAACTGCGTATCAAACTGACTTATTCACTCATTCAATCGCATCTTCAATTATGCATTCGCACTGCAATTCAGTTAGTGGATGCGTCAATCAATCAATGGCGAAAGCCGTCACTCCGTCACTCCGTTACTCCGTTACTCCTTCACTCATTCACTCCTGCAATCACTCATTAACTCTGTAATTCACTCACTCAATCAGTTGGTGCCTTTTCCGCCGTCACTCACTCGAAAGGCGAAAGCCTTTTTGGACTCTTGCCAGCGTCGGGCGGGCGTACATCTGTTTATTTTGATACTGCTCTCAGGCCGCAATGACTGCCTGACTGACTGACTGACTGACGGACTGACGGACTGACGCTGTCCCCAGGAGTCAACACCAGCCACCAACCCCACCCTGCGGCCCCCCGCCGCCGCCCTGCGGATAATGTATTTTTATACAATTTATATTTATTGCGTAAATAAAATTCTTTGCATTTTCCTCCGAGGCCTGCCCGTCTGTTGCCGATGGCCGATGCCCTCCCGCCTCTCCCCCCTCGACAGATACGCCCTGCTGGTAATTGCAATTATTATTTATTATGATTTCCTCTGCTTCGATTGCAAATTGTGCAGCCGCATTCCCATCTTCTTGCAGCAGATCGAAGCTCAACAATTGAAGAATGCCCCATGAATGCGACTCCAGAGGGCCTAAATGCTGCCCAAAAAAAACCACAGATATTCCCCAGCCAAATGCCGAAATTAATTGCATTCCCCAATACATAATTAGTGTTCATATTTGCATATATTTACTATAGTTAGTCCCCCGACAAACCGCAAAAGCGTTGATTAAACCAAACCGCCCCCCCACCCATCTGTTGGCTCCGATGCTTTGCCTTTGTTTCTGTTTCTGTTTCTGCTGCTCTCGATTTCAATTAAATTCAAGTCGCAATTTGCCTACATTTTGCCTGATTAGGTGACCCAGATACTTGCAGCATTTTTATTATACTTATTTTATTATGAAAAAAAAACATGCAAAATCGCTGAGGTTTCTGCGTTATCTTTGGCCTGAAAAAGAAGTGCCAAAAACTATTCCACGAGGGACTGCTTATCAAAATGTGAAGGAAACCAACAAAAGGGGTGGGGGTGGTGGTGTTGGTGCTGTTACTTATCGGGGTAGAGCCCCAGCGACACCCAGCCACATAGCACCTGGGGCACCCGACTTTACGGTAATAGTTTTGATATTATTTTCGTAGTTGCCATTCTGCTAATTAAATAAACACAATCCCACAATCCCACCAGCACTGGGACTACGACTCTGTGCAACTCGGGGAAACAACTGGAAACTCTGGGAAATGGCAAAAAAAATGTAGACGCGTTCGCTGCTTCTATTCGCTTTTTCCAAATGTTTCCTTCCACCTCCTGAATTTTGCTTAATTTCTGTTCGGCGGTTGAAACAAATAAACATGCTTCTTCGGACACCGGACTGCACCCAATTATATGTTGTTTGCACATGTGTGGTGTGGGGTGGTGTGGGGTGTTGTGGCTCCACAGTGCCAGGGACCTTTGCATAATTTATTTTAATAGATTACGCTTTAATTTGATTTAATATTCATTTGCAACGTCGCCTATTTTGTTGCATGACATCTGTGCTGTGGCTGGCCGTTTGCTTCAACAATTATCCGTAATTCTGTGTCCTGTACTACGATATCCTGGAAAATACTCTACTCTACTCTATGTTTAGTGTAGTGCTAATGATTTTCTGCTCTGCTGCTGCCCCATTCTGGGGCATAAATATCTGATTGAGTTGCATGGAAAATTGTGGTGATTTTGGCCTTTTGTGTTACCGGATTTTGTTGGCCTGCCAACAATGCAAGGAAGCACCCACGAGGATGCCGAATATCGTTCAACTTTGGCATCGTTGGGACTGCCTGCAGTCGAAACAAACCAATTATGGAATTCCCCAAATATTCGTTAGGATTTTTGTGCTGCCTTGATGGAAATCAATACCATTGATGGCCGTCTGGTCGTCTGGTCGGTTCCCCATGTCCTCAATTAATTAGAAACTATGCAACCATACATCAGTCGATGCACCAATAAAAGCAGCCAGGGTCTGGCCCCAAAACAACTGAACTTCCCCACTGAATCGGCAAACAAGTAACTTTAAATCAAGTGAAAATTGGTTGAGGTTGAGTGTATCTGACAGGCAAAAATATTATTATTATGACTAGCCGTACAGCTATGTACGTGTACATGCGAGTATGTGGGTATATGAAAGTGGGGTTTTGTGTACTTACATCTTGTGAGATCTGTCCCATATCCGCGAAATAATCAACAGCGTAAGACATGAGTCCAACTACAACTACAACTGCAACTACAACTTCAAGCTGCAGCCTGCAGATCACACAATAAAACAGATACCAGAACCAGTTTGCGGTTCAGCCACAGCTACAGCTCTCTCGTCTTTTGTTTATTGCCTTTATCGGGGCAGATCCAGTGGCCAGTGGCCAGTGGCCAGTGCCAGTAAACAGAGTCAGAGACACAGCCAAAGATGGAGCCAGAGCCAGAGCCACTGAAAGTGGAGCACAGCAACCGAAACACTGGAAGGAGGCTCGTCTGCGGATTGCTCGTGGCGTATCGTCGAATCGAGTCAAACCAGATTTTGGCTTTTACGTTTTTGTTTTGGTTTTCAGATTCAGTTTCAGGGTCTCTCTCTCTCTCTGTCTCTGATGCCACAGCCACCGCCAACTGCAACTGCAACTTCAACTTCAAGTCTTTCGTCAGTATGCGGCTCTCTTAGCGGGTCACGAGTCCCGGAGTTGCTGAGAGCTGGCTGCTGGGTGCTGGGAGTCAGGTCAGTACCTCTAGTCGCGGATTGTGGTTGAGACACTTGTAAGTGTAGCTGCTTTGTATCCGCAAGATGCTCTGATTGCCCCTGTTCCTGCCTTGATTGCTACTCCGGTCGACACTTGCGGCTTCTGGGCTCAACAGGTTGTTGCATAAGCGATGGCTCTTACTGTTGTTTTTGTTGGTTTTCATTTGTCGACTTTTGAAGAGGAATCGTTTTCCCACTTTCCCACTCATCCACTTATCCTTTATTCGCGCTGGGAGTCCTTGGCGAGGCTTTAATCAGCAACTAAAATAGAGGAAGATTTCGAGATTTTTCGGATCAAAGTTCATAAAATTATGTGTCAATTGGTGGTTAACTTTCAATTAATTTGGAAAATTGACTTTTTCCTTTTTCCCCCGGAAATGCCCGCTTATCCAACAAAAAACTTCCCACAGCAACAGCATGGAGATACATACATACATATAAGATCGTATAGGAGGTATCCAACTTCAATTAGCATTCAAATGCCAGTCAATATATTTAACATTTCGTTTTGGTTTTTTGCTTTCAAAAACAAACATCCAAAAACAAGCCCCAAAACACACACAAATTCAAAGATTATTTCATCGGTGAGCGAAGATATAGATACACTTTCCTTCGAATCGAGTCGAATTTCAGTCGAATTTTGGTTGCTAACTTTTGGGGGAAAACATATCAAATAGCCATGGGTTTTTCCTAGAAAAACGAAACATTTTCGAAATCGAATCTGAGCAGTTCCTCCCTCTACCCTCTACCCTATACCCGATATCCTATATCGTATAGGCACCTACAAGACCGCAAAAGTGCACGGCAAGTCTGAATGGGAATATTTGGGGAACGTGTTTTTGCCCATGCCTCGATTGCCTCTTCCTGGGGCAAGGTAACAAACAGTCGCAAAAAACACAAACAAACAAAAACAAATATGAACCAGAAATTAATCCCAAATGTTAACATAGCATAGTATTTTTGGCATGCAGACGCAAAGTAGCAAACAAATAAGCAGACAGCGGCAGACACAAATCAAATACAGGCCAAAATTTGTAGCTGCAACTGCGAGGAGCAGGCAGACAGGCAGACGGGCAGCGGGCGCGACGTAGTTGGGTGAAACAGATGATATTTCTCACTGGATAAACTTTGCTATCGGTTGCCATTGCCTTGGCGGCATCCACATTGCCGTCAAACGTCACGCGTGACATTGTTGTTTGTGGGGGCGGAGCAGCGGGAGTGTGGGGGTGCGGGGGTGCGGGGGTGCGGGGGTGCGGCAACAACGATTTTTGTAACTCAAGCATCTGTGTGAGCGCTCAAATGACATAAACAATGTTACAAAGTTCCCTATTAACAATTGTTTTTATTTTATTATTGTTAAAGACAACGCCACAGGCATACCGGATACCGAATACCGAATAGCGAATACCGTATACTGAATATTCTGTGAGTGTTGTGACTGAATGCTTCAGTAATTCGCCCAAAGTCAAGCCAAATCGAGATCGGCTTACCAACTTTACAGGGTAGCCTTGCATTACTCCTTCGCTTTTATCGGCTGCTAAAAGCCAAAAAAATCAAATGTGTTGCAGTGCTGAGGGGTACAGTGCAGTCAGTAGCTGTTGCTGTTTCTGTTTCTGTTGCTGCTGCTGTGGCGAACGCCATTGCGTATGAGCATTGCCGTCACGTATACGCACTGTTAATATTGTAAGCCGCTTTCTCGCTTCTCGTTTGCCTCGAACTGGAGTTCAACTGGAGTTTCGTACGGCAGAAATCAATATAGTTTTCATCACGAATGTTCTGTTGACTCCCACGCGTATATTTTTACATTTCCAGATTAAATTAACAGCCCCCGACGGTTGTTGTCTGCCTTTTGTTTTGCGGATTGACGGGGGGCTTTTGTGGCAGGCAAAGGATGTTTGGAACAATCGAAAAATTCAACAAAAACCGTGCCTGCACCGCACACCAGTCGGTGGATGGCGTCTTGCTGTGCGGACATCGGGTCACAAAAGAATGAATTCCTTTGACGCTCGGCTTGTCAAATCCATTCAAGGGATAGTCCATAGGTATACCCATGTCCCACTAATCAAGTGTTTTTATTTGTGATAAATTAAAGTTGATTTAGTAGCAGAGTGCCGCTCTCTGTCCTGGCGCCATGTGCAGCCCCACTTGCTGCTCGGGCAAGTCGCCCATTGCCCGGAGGCTGCAGGCGATCAGGCAGCAGCGAATGGAGGAGGAAGAGGCCCTGAGAAGGCCCAAGCCCGTCATCTGCACGCCGGAGAGCGAGCTGTACGCCTACGGGGAGATCGAGGCGATGGCCGAGCACATCATGAAGGTCTGCCAAATGCGGCCCAGGATCGGGCTGATATGCGGCCACTTCCTGCGCCAGCTGGTCGACATTATCGAGGAGCCCGTGCTCATACCGTTCGAGGACATACCGCAGTTCCCGGTGTGCTCCACGCTGGAGGGCGCCCGCAACCACCTGGTCGTGGGCACCGTGATGGGGGCCACCGTGATGGCCATGCAGGACCGCTTCCACACCTACGAGGGCTACCAGCTGGCCAGCAGCGTCCTGCCCGTGCGCGTCATGAAGCTGTGCGGCGTCCAGCACATCCTGCTGACGTGCGCCGCGGCGGCAGTGAATCCCCAGTACGCCGTGGGCGACATTATGCTCATCAAGGACCACATCAACATGCTGGGCATGTTCGACAGGACGCCGCTGACGGGCGCCCACGATCCGCGCTTCGGCGTTCGCAAGCTGGCAATGACCCGCGCCTACGACAGACACCTGCTCGAAAAGAGCCTGCAGATCGGCAGAGAGCTGGGCTTCGACGACTGCCTCCAAGTGGGTGTCTTCGGTTGCCTGTGCGGCCCCACCTGCAAGACGAACGCCGAGGGGGAGATGCTGCGTGTGATGGGCGTCGATGCTGTGGGCATGTCCCTCGTCCACGAGGTGATTGTGTCCCACCACTGCGGCCTGAAGATCTTCTCTCTGGGCATCATTACGCTGGCCGCCAGCAAGGACGACGAGCAGCATGAGGTGGCGGAGGCGCAGGAGACGCAGGAGATGGAGATGCCCATGCAACGCCTGCAGGCCTGCACCGATCTGATCTCCCGCCTCATCTACTGCATCCACAACAATCTGTGAGATATCCCAAAAATAGATTTCTTTACCCTACCGCCAGCCACTCGATTGCGTTGTTTCTGTTTCTCTTTCTGTTTTTGTTGCTGTTTTTGTTTTGCTTTTAATGCGAAGTGCAACAAAGCAACAACTGTTGCCAAGAAAGCTCTCAACGCGGAAGCAGCGACAGGTGCAGCTGCTGCTGGCTACCCCACCACCCCACCAACTCACAAAAAGGGGCAAGCGGAAAGGGGGCAGAGTGGAGGCAGAGGTAGGTGCAAGTGTGCCCGGTGTCAAGCTGTCTAATGGCCCAAATGGCCAGCGATAAAACTGTCAAAGTATTGGGAGCACAGCCCAACCCCCTCCCACCAACACCACCACCACCACTCGGCGTATACGTAATACGCTGCATCCCTACTCCCTCGTGGGCATCCCTACATCCACATACAATAAATTGACGTACATTTAATGGTAATTACCTACAAAAGAACCATCTGCAATCAGAAATATTGGGAGCTTCATCCTCTCAGAGTCTTTGAAAATTCAGTTTTGTGGATTCTGCACGGTTTTCTTCGTGTGTAAAGGACATTTATACCCCGCAAAGAGGCTCTCCCATAACTGTTTACTACAACAATTCATTCCCTGGTGCTGTAATACTGTACATTGTGTCCTTCTTTATGACAATTAAAAGATTTGAACTTTTTTGTACACGTACTCGTATTCGTATTTCATTCTTTTGTGTGTCACATTGCTGCCAATTTCATCATTGTTTCATTGTTTGTTGGGGGCCCCAAGTCGATGACGAATCATTAGCCTCCTCCCCACGCTGATTGTTTAAGTATACGGCTATATATATACATATGTGTATATAGGAAGAGTGAACGGGGGGGTGGGACGGATTGACACGCGCATTTTGTTTTTGCGATTTGTTTTCCTACTGCTACTCGTAGATCGTTTTCCCCCCGCTTTAATTTTCTCAGCCAACTTGTGATTTATGCGATTCTGAGCTTTTGAGATGCGGCTAGTTCAACGACCCGCACAAAAATGATGATTGAATTATCGGCGAGTAATTAAACAAAAATACTCCTATCTACTGAATGTGGTATCTCCACCTGTCCACCTGTCCATCTGCACCCCTTTTTGGCCAACAGTTCAGTGTACTGTGGCATTGCATTTAGTTTTATTTGAATTTAAAAATATCAAAGCCATTCGAGGCATTTGTGCGTTGAATATCAGAGTGGCAGCAATTGAAATGCCCCTGCCACAGCGACGCTGCAGCAGCAGCACCAGCAGATGATTGCCAGATACGTAGATATGTGGATACAGATGCACAGATAGTCTGTATATTAGATACAGTATAGGTTGGTGTGCAGCAAATAGTTTTGGCATTTCAATTGCCTCGTCTCGCCTCGCCTCGCCTCGTACTCGTACGTGCCACATCTGCCCTGCCACAACCAAAACAAAACAATTTAAATGGCATACAGCTACAGCTGCCACAAAGATTCTTTTGAGGCCCAGTACTAATTATATCAACTATTTGCCATTAAATAACTAAAATATTTAATACTTTTCCGTAAGCCGTAAGCCGTAAGCCGTAATCAAATTGTCAGCTTTCCAGATTCATTTGCATCTTTACTGTACGAGTGCAAAAGAGAGATACTTTTGTATCTACAGCCAAAAGAAAAGGGGGGACAACTCTGTGCATCTGTGGTTTGATCTCAAGCAAATATTTAAGGAGGAGCAAAATGTATGTAATCAATAAAAGGTCTATTATTTAATGTGAAAGCTCGTATACATATGTCGAATGTCTGTTGACGTCGCGACGTTTCATTACGCTTTCTGATAAGCAAATAAAAGCATTCAACCACAAATGCCAAATGCCAGCCAACGCAATACACAAAACAAAGTATATAAAATGATTCAGCGTTAAAATGTGCAACATTTATTCTAGAATATTACACAATACTACAGTATATTCCTAGACCAGCCTGTTGCTAGGCCCATGACCCGCCTCCCCTGCATCTGATCGCCTTATCACTTGGGACCATAAACCAGAAATCATTAGATTAGAGTTTGGTCTTCAAAGCGGGAGAGAGAGAGGAGAGAGTTTAAGCCAGGCCAATCAATCTTTATTAGTCCACAATTAGGTTACCCCCAACACACACAAAACACTTTCAGTGGCATCTGCTTTCATCTGGCGCTAAGTGAATCACGTTTTGGGTTTCGCTCGCTCCTTGGACATGCTGCAAGGATTCCAGACAGCAAAGAACAGTGTCAGAGCCATAAACGAAAACAGTGTGCAGTTGGAATGTTGTACAATTAAAAGTTTCCTTGGCCGGAACGGCTTGCCGAACTTAATCCATTGAAAAGTCAAAGGAGACCGCATAAGAGACCCCCCCTTATTAATGGATGTGGCATTTCTTAGATTATATGTACATATATCCCAAAACGATGCACCCTTCCGACAGATACCCTTTATATAATTTAATAGTTACAGCTGCACTTGCAGTTGCAGTTACAGTTTTTTTTTGTTGGAAGTTCAGTCACCCCTCGCTTTGCGGCCATAGAAGTGACGACTGTAATTGCTGTTGTTGTTGTTGTTTTTCTGTAGCAGCCATTGGCAATTGTTGCTATTTGCTTAACTAATACATTGCACAAGCGACGTCAAGCGACGACAAACGACGGCTGAAAACGGCCCGTTTTGAATAAATCATACGACTCTGGTCGCCAGGTCGTATACTCAATGACAATTACATTTCGTTAAGGGAATTGAATGGAATGTGACGGGGGAGACGTGGGTGCGATATATACACACGTATGTACATATGTACATATGTATGTATGTTTGCAGATATCATTATTCAATGAAGCGAAAACTCCCAGAAAACTCAGACTCGGACCTCAAATTCCAGACAGAGACTGACCCCCACCCTGACCCTTTGCGGAGCGCCCCTGTTCTGACAAATGGAGATCCACACACATCTCAATCACTCCACTCGAACCTCAAGCAGAGTTCGAGTGATTTCCGATACACTCGCATAACCGAAATAACCGCTATAATGCGCCTGGCAACAGCGACAAATGGAAACAAACTACAACAGCAACAGCAAGAGCAACAATCGCAAGCAACAGTTGTTCGCTTGAAGAGTGCAGCGCATTGAAGGTATTAGTGTGTGAAGCAATAAGTGAGCGAGTGTTTCAATCGCTGACTGAGTGGGTGAGGAGTTTGAGTGTGTGCCGTCGGAATTGTAACCCTTGATATCATAATTGTTTCGTTCAACAACCCAACAGCACAAGCCAGACTCTTAACAAATTATTGAAAAATAAAATAAATCAAATAAAATTCATTTTTAATCCTGATTACAACTTTTAGTTGTGGAAGAGGAGATTCAACAGAATTTTACTGTTGGCTTGATAGCCACAAATAACTCGAAATTCTTGGGTATTCCTTCGAGTGCAAACAGTTTCTGGCATAAGGACGGAAAGAATCGAGTAGAATAATTACAATGCAAATGTTGTGAGCACAACGAAGAACGAAACAATAGAATGATGGCGTGCAGACACAAACAAAGTTAAGAAATGTTTCGAACAAAACGACATAAAACAAACAGCAGCGTGAGAGTGAGAGGGACAGATGCACGATACAGGGGGAGAGTGAGCGCAAAACGTGCCTAATTTAGATTTTCTTGCGGTAGGTCAGGTCATGTGCCAATTTCCTCAGCTCAGAATTGTGTGCTTCGTATGGTGTGCGCCAGAGACGGGACCACATTCGATGCAAGAACATTCTCCTTCTGGCCGACGACAGCCTTTTCCTTCTGGCTAAAAACTGATTATGCTTGCCTTCAGCCAGTCATTCCAATTGCATAACTGCAAATCAACAGACATTTTGATGGGACTGGGTCACAGGGTCCTGATCTAGTTTTTGGGAGTTTTAGCCAGATAAAAAAGGGTTCCCTCAAAGGTGGAATTTTTTGATTGCTGTTGCAGGTACTGGGCCTGGTCAAGGCATGAAAATTGGTGGTTTCATTCGAAGCTGGCACATTGCAATCCCATCACATTTCCTAGAATGGGGGTCGACACTGTGGAGATGCGTCTGGCTCACAAACATACAAACCAAAAATACACCCTCGATATTAAAAACCAACTTCGGGGGTTCTCATTTATAAACTGCATGCATACAAGTTGGGGCTCTGCGTTCGTTGCAAACATCTGGTGTAAATCATCATACTCTACTCTATAATAGGGTATCAAAATACCGAAGCTGGTTGGGTTTCTGGTGATGTTCATGTGCCGGGCCTGCCAAGAGGGCGCTGCATTGGAAGCCTATTGCTGTGTATCTGTCTGTGTCTGTAAATGGTGCCCCTGGCGAGAGTACCGAGGAATTATGTATGTGAGATACGGCTATCGATACGGCAGACCATTTGCAGTTTTTTTTTTCTTTTTTCGGAAAAACTAGTTTTCAGTAGAGGCGGAGACGAGTTTAATTTGAACTTAAATTTTCATCTTAGGAAACTTACCCATAGAGAGCGTCGGCAAAACAGCTCATTTGCTTCATTTGCTTGCCTTGCTGAGAGAGAGCGTGGATGGACAGGGAGAGCAGAGCGCAATTGAACCACGGTGCAGGGAAGCGAGTGTGGTGATCAGCTCTCTGGCGCTCTCAATGCAGGTTAATTGTTGCTGGTGCAGAGAAGTGCAGTTGAAGAGAGTGACGTGACCGCCGTTAGTTTGGTGCTTGTTGATTCTGCTTTATCGGGTCTGTCGGACGCGAGTCTCTTTTGCTTTGTCTCGCTTGCTTGCCTTTGGCTTCTCCGATAAAGCGACACACACACACGTCGATTTCGTTACGAGTTAAATGTGTATGTATGTACGTGAAGCGTATGTCTTTTTTCGGTGATAACAGACACACTCGAATACAGTTAGTTTCTGGGCGCGATGGGTGTGGTGTAGAGTAACAGTAACTAATTGCAGTAAAATACAACAGCCGCGAAACACAATACGAACGAGGGAAGAAACACTGTGGAATAAATAAATATAATGCGTTAATCAGAAATCTATACATACATACATATGTACACATATGTATATTTTGGAGATCTCGGAAACAGTTTCGAAATGGAAGCAACAAGAACTAGAAAACGGCGCAAAGTTGCGCGGGTGTGACTTGACATGCGTTCGTTTGGCCCAAGTTGTTTATATTATACATTTTGGAACATTTTTTGGATTTGACCATATTAATTATGTAAAAGCCGATTGCACTTGGCGCGAAAAAATAGAAATCAAGAGCAGGCTGCCACCGATAACAATAATAGTTTAAATTTAAATTTAAATTCAAGAAATGGCGCGTGTAGCAGGGAGAGGGCGCGGAGCACGGAGGAAGGCAGGGAGCATCACTTAATTTGTTTATGCGGTTCGTCGTCTATGGGGCTCACATGCTTTCCTCTGTGTTATTGTTGTTTCTCTTTCTGCTCTTTTTTTTATTCTCTTTTTGTGTTTTCGGTTTGGCTTGTTGTTGATTTCTGTAGTAATTTTCCATGCAATAACAATGATTCTCTGCTTTTTTCGGCATATTATCTTGAGCGCGCGCTCTTTTCTTGTTTCTTTTAAAATTTGAATAATTCTGGAACGAAGAACAACGCCAATTTCAGCACCGAGAGCTCACACACACTTAAACATAGAGTAGGGATAGTTTGGGGAAATTACCAGATTAACAAAACGAACAAATCAAACAAACTAAAAAAGGAAAAACTTCTGCCCGTTCTTCGGAACACTCTCTTGTAAACTAAGCGTAGTCTAGACTTGACTCTTCCAGAAAGAGGTGAAGAGAAGGTGCGGGCTGCTGCTGCTGTTGTTGCGTGCGAGCCTCGCTGTGTGCACTCGGGAGCAATGACAACCGTTACGCGGCAAGTCGAAAACAGAAATGGGGAAATCTCGCGATGGAAAGGCAAACAAACAAATACAGAGTGCACATTCGGCTTGTTCCGTCGGCTCGTTTCGTTTTCACTCGGCCAAAAGCTGAACCAACCAGCTATCTCTTAGTACCAGGGTATGACTAAACAAAGGTAAGGCCATCCATCTCGTTGTCTGAGCGACATAGGCACTAGATATGCCTGGAATTATGTCCCTCTGAGTAGGAAACTACCCGATATAGTTATTCCATGCGAAGCACGAAGAGCATGCCAACACACACACACACTCGTATGCAATAAGCTTCTTACGCGAGCAGGGCAGCGGGAAGATAGAGGAACTAGGTGGAAACGTTGGAGGGGAAGTGAGAGTGGAGCAGCAACAGGCAGGCAGACAGAGCTGTTAGTGTTGGAGCAACGAGTGTCAGAGGAGTGGGGAGGGGGCCAGGCCAATCAGCACATGAAAAATCGTACGCTTCGACCAGGACGTACTTTTGTAAGGTGACGCATAATTAGAAGCGCTCAAGCGAAAGCAGTTTTGTCAGAGGTAATATACATACATATGTATGTATATACGGAGTACACCTAAAATTAATTTGTGAACACTAGTTTAATAATCATCAAGAATGAGCCGTTCGATAAACACTTTTTCTATGCGCCACCTCATATAAATACACCTTGACTCCGACCAGCTGTTGCATGCGTTCTGTTGTACCCTACACTAAGCAGAGAGACTAGGTAGGCTGTCTGTTGACGCTCAGCAAGCACATGCAAATAAGCTTTTTGTCTGCGCTCATATGCTTCTCCTTTTTTATTAACAGTTGTGTTTCTATTTTTGTACGTTTTCTTTTCATACACATATGTGTGTGTATATATGAGTGACAACGACAACGCTTTATATGATTGAACTCTTAAACGGCCGAAGCTCCCTTGGCACCCGCCTGTCATCTGGTCCAACGAACACAAACAGAAAGGCTCATAAATGATGTGCGTGTGTGTGTGTGTGTGGGAGAGTGTTGTTTTCCGTTCAGGGCTGGAGCTATCATATGAAAAGAGGCGTCACAGTAAGGTGCAATCTTGACTATCAAAACAACTGATGCATAAGGTACAGCGCTCAAAAAAAGTCCATTCAGAGCTAACCAAACAATCTATTAAATGGAAACGGCAATGGCAAGTGAAGCACGTTAAAGTATCATCAGACGCTTCTTGCAATAAATGGTTATAAATCCGTCCCGTCATTGTTTCTAGAATAAATAGCTGCTAAATCGTGACACAATGAATTTAATCCCAAAGAAATGAATAAGCATAAGCACCATTTTGAGTGCAAAGTTCTGTTGGGAACTAGTATTGGGCGAAGCTGGGAGATTTGCATTTAACAGCTTGCTCTTATCAGTAGAGTAGACCAACCAGCATGATAACAGCACGGATATGTATGTACATACATACATATGTACATATGTTTCTATATAGATTATTATTGATTAATAAACAATTTTCTCACTTGTACCACGAATACTCGTAAATAGCTCTCAGTCTTAGGCTGCTTCGTTGCCTATACATACAGACATGGAACTGTGGAACCACTCACATACACAATGGCGACGCTACTGATAAGCAATGACCGATTTAGTTCTATAGTTCATAAAGTGATAACTAGCATTAGACACAATTGACCCACAAAGTGGAGACGACAAACATCAAATGATTGTGTCTGAAATATCTATGAATATTTCTTTGAATGGCAAATGGGGAAGCGGGGAAAGCTATTCCTTAACCAAAATTGCAATGCAACAAGTACATTCGTACTATATGAACATCTGTGAATCAATATTTAATAAAATAATACTCACTTAAACAGAATTTTTTATTTGAGTGGAAGGTTTCATTATTCCGATTGAATGGCCCTGAATCGCACTCAAATAAATGTCGAAAATTTTAGTAAAAATCCGTGCGATATAAAATTCTGTACGCAACAAGTTACAAAAATACATGCAACTTTTTTTAATGAATCCCCGTTTCAACGCGGGCGTGGGATACCTTTGAAATGTTATTACATGGCCATTTTTTGCATCCACAGTGGTTTTTTTACCCGTCGTTATTGCAGTCCTTGCAGTCCTGTTGACACTCTGAGCGAGGAGGCGGATTTTTCATCGCTTTTGAGAGGCGTACGAATGAAAACATGGTGCAGTGCACACAATTAATGTGCAGCAAGCAAAAGCATCAACAAACAATAAAGAAACCCTATCTTCGAGGACCGAAATTTTGGATACCCTGGCAGATTCCATTCAACAACTATGATATATCCGTTAAGTGTTCCACACGAATCTGTAACAGAAAAATCAATCAAGTCGGGTTGCTGTAGGCTTGGATGAGTAAGGACTTCATCAATATTCCTAGCCAGATACAGGATACAGGGTGATTATATGCTGAAATCGCAATACCCCCCGCAAGGGTACGAGAAAAGTTCTCTTGTAAAGAGAAGACTGAGACTGAATCAAACGCATACCATGTCCCGGTTGGCAATTAATTGCCCAGAAATCTACGGTGAAGGACAATCCATGCAAAGGATGACATGTGCCACATATCAGCGGAATGAAGAGGAATGGGAGAAGCTCCAACAGTTGTCCGTTTTTTTGTAAATGAGCAACATGTCCATATATGTAGATATGTATGCATGAGCAGACGCGCGAATTTGTCCGGTATCGGCCTGCGACCGTTTACCGGACCGTGTTTCAACATTTCCCCTTCGTCAATAGATCTCAATGATGCGTTAAACCACCAGAACCAATATCCATCCCATGTCCCTTTGGCTTAAGGGCAATTTTCGCGCTTTGTACAGGAAGGGGAGGACGTGGCCTCTGCTGGGACGGTTGTTTCCAGGTTTACACCACGCATCCATCCATCTATGAAACAAACGATGAGCATTAATCATTTATTTTCAGTTGCGCACATCCCACCCAAACACTTGCTCTCCTACTCACTGCCAACCCTATACACATCCCTGCCCCCGTCTGGCCTTGGGTCTCTTGCATGCACTGCCTGTAGTTCTGCATATCCCCATTCATTCACCAATTTCAAATGAAAGATAATTAGTTCATTTACTGTTTTTATGTCATGTTTTTGCATTTGCCCTAAAGATAAACTCCGTAAAACTCCCTTTCAATTCTCTTCATTAAATTATGGGTAGAGTATGACGAGAAAGGTAATTTCCAATACCCATAAGGCCGGATTATAGCAAGGAGTATCCGAATTGCGCTGGTCAGTAAATGGACTACAAAATTTTAATTAATTGTCTGCCGTTCGGGTTTTTTCTACACATTTCGACTGTGGCTTTTAAGTTATTAAATAATTTTATTTTTTTAAGTTTAGTTATTTACCCTAATTTTTTTTAAATCATTTTTTTTTGCTTGTGTGTTTTCAGCGGTAGGGCTTTTTTCACAAAACTTAAGTATCTTACATCTGGTTGTATTAAACTTTGCAATTGTGAAAAGCTAATAAATGCAGTTATAAATCGGATCTAAGCACTTTGTTGCTTAAGATTACTGTCTGGAAAGTATTAAGCTTTCAAATTCAAAATTCATTATTGTGGTGGTTTCCTTGCATATTTGTACATATACATATGTAATGGGCATTCAAGAATGCCATCAAATTTTAAAAATTCTCTCTTCATTAAATTCTTCTTGAAGGAATACATTTAGTTCCTTCACTGAGAGTTACCTGAGAACTCTAGCTTTTAATTCGCATTCATTGGTTTATAAAATATGCACGTGTAAAAAAGTACACAACCGGCACACAACGAGTCGAGCCGAACGCTAGAGCCGAAGAACCTGGGAGCGTACGCAGAAAGTTCGCTCGCAACACGTTCGTTGTATGAACGAATAGTGAATAGTCAGTGCTTGTGCTTTTGCAGCCCTGGTCTTGTGTGGATTTTTTTCATTTAATTTAGTTGATTTTCCGAATATTATCACATAAATGGCCCCACCGAAAGGCAACAACAACCGTCCGACTGGACGTCGCAAAAAGTCCAGCAACCTGTTGCAGACACTGCTGGACAAATACCTGAATATAGGCTTTCTCAAGTACCTGGTGCTCGAGCCGGCCGCCTTGCCCATAATTAGTGTTCTGATTGTTTTGGCGGAAGCAGCTATCAATGTGTTTGTGATTCGGCGCGTGCCATATACGGAGATCGATTGGGTGGCCTACATGCAGGAGTGCGAGGGCTTCCTGAACGGTACCACCAATTATGCCCTGCTGCGCGGTGAGTGCTCAAGGTTTTCTCGAGTTTATTTTTGGACACCAGCGGCGGCTGCCATGTGCCCCCATTCCAATGCTTCTATATCTAAAGTTTCTGCTCCATCCCTCTGGAACCAATGGGAAGTCCTTTGCTTGGACTGTGACTGTGAACATCGTTTATTCGTCTCTTCCACTTGGAATAGGTCCTGCTGCTCGTACCCCTAGTCTTAGACTTAAAACAAAACGTTATCTTAGGAGCAACATTAACATTGTTTTTGCTTAAATATTAACGTAAAACAATTGTGTTTCAGTTGAACATAGATTTGATCTTGTTTAAGAAGCCTCCCCCGCCTCCGCCTTCGCTTTGCCCTGATCCCCCACTGGGCTTGGACTCTTTTTGGTCCTGCTGTTCCTTGGTTTCGCTTGTGCTTTCTTTGCTGGTTCCTTTGGCTGCTCCGCCTCCAACAGCTCCGGATTGTTCACTCGCACCTGTGCTGCAATTATAGAAGAGCAAAAGACAGGGATTGACGTTTAAGTATCGTTCAGACTGTTAACCCACATATATTTGAACTACGAATTGAAGCTCCAATTACATTAGATGCTGCATTGGGCAATGAGATTGAGAATTGACTTGCGAAATTGCGTTTCTATCTGCTAGGGTGTATTTACGTTGCTTTCTTACTGCCATTTTTTGTCTGGGTGATGCCGTGGATCTTGCCTGGCGTGTCCAGCTCCAGCTCGGCGAAGGCCTCGATGAGTGCGCGCTGCTCCTTGCTCAGCTTCCGCGGCACATCAATTTTGATGTGTACATAGTGATCGCCATGGCCATGAGCGTTTACCCGCTTAAGGCCCTTGCCTCGCAACGTGTGCTTGTGGTGGGAGGAGGTGCCCGGTTCAATGTTAATCCACTGGTCCTCGTAGACGCCCTGGACGCGTACAGTGCCGCCCAGGACGGACTGTGACACCGAGATGGCCACGTCTGTGTGTACGTCGGCCCCGTCACGGCGGAAGTAGTCGCTCCGTTCCACTCGGAAGGTCACAAACAGTTCCTTGCTGCCCACCTGCATGCGCACCGTTTGTCCGTTCTCGATGCCCGCCGGCACCGGTACAGTCACCTTGCGGCGCTGCACAGTCTTTCCCTTGCCCTCGCACTCGCTGCACGGATACTTGATGTACTGGCGCGTGCCCTGGCAGTAGCGGCACGTGGAACGCATGACGAAGGGTCCCGTCGAGATGGTCTCGAAGCCTGTGCCGTTACAGTACTGGCAGCGGCCCGGCTTTGTGCCCGGCTCGCACTTGGAGCCGGCGCACTTGGGGCACTCGTCCACCACATTGACATTCACATCCTTATTGACGCCGCGAGCTGCCTGGGCGAAGGTCAAGTCCATGACCATCTCCTGAGCCTGGCCGAAACCGAACTTGGAGTCGGCGAAGTCGTCGAAACTGTTGGTGCGGAAGTTTCCCTCGCCGAAAATCTTGCGGAACAGCTCCTCGGGATCGATGGTCGAGCGGAACTGCCAGCTCTGTGAGAAGCCCTCGGGTCCGAAGGGTCCTGCCCCGCCGCCGCCGCCACCGAATCCGCCACCCTGACGACTCATGTTCTCCGCCGTCTGGCCGTAGGTGTCGTACTCACGCCGCTTCTGATCATCGCTGAGCACCTCGTAGGCCTCGGAGACCTCCTGGAATTTGCGACCGGCATCCGGGTCCTCCTTGTTGGTGTCCGGATGGTACTTCTTGGCCAGCTGATAGTAGGCCTTCTTGATATCCTTCCCATTGGCGTTCTTGGCCACCCCCAGTGTCGTGTAGTAGTCTTTGGCCAGCATGCGGCTGGAGGTGTGAAAACTGCGGACTGTGTGCCGTCCATCATCGCGTGTCCTAAGCCCCAGCAATGACAATTTGGACGCGGACGCATGCGATATACTCGGCGCTGCCGTGGGGCCCCAGGGCGAGAAGCTGGAGCTGTGTTTCAGAGTTGTCCGTAGGTGCTGTTGGTACCGGCGGCAGCAGCGGATCGCCGGCAGTTGGCCGCGGAGTACGAACAAATTTTGACACGAAATCATATTTACATTAAAAGTTGTAGTTCTCAGCTAAAAACATGCCGTAATAACCTCCATGCTTCTCGAATAAAAATTTTCCTTCTCTTTCTGACACTGACATCTGACATTTTGACAGTCGCCCGACGACGTTGCTCTTCTTTGAATTTGCCATTCACAGTGCGCGCCGAAAATACAGCTGCTTCGAAACAGAATTCGAACTGTAACGGAACGGAACAAGACAAGAACAGACAAGGGAAATGTTAATTAAACTATTTCTTTTGTCTACATTGCAGGTGATACTGGGCCCCTAGTGTATCCGGCGGCTTTTGTGTACATTTACTCGGCCCTCTACTACATAACGTCGCATGGCGCTAATGTGCGGGTGGCGCAGTACATCTTTGCCGGGATTTACCTGCTGCAGATGTGCCTGGTGCTGCGCCTGTACGCGAAGAGTCGCAAGGTGCCGCCGTACGTGCTGGTCCTGAGCGCCTTTACCTCGTACCGCATTCACTCGATCTATGTGCTGCGTTTGTTCAACGATCCCGTGGCCATCCTCCTGCTCTATGCGGCACTCAATCTCTTCGTGGATCGGCGCTGGACCTGGGGCAGCATTCTCTTCAGCCTGGCCGTGGGCGTCAAGATGAATATTCTGCTGTTTGCACCGGCCCTGCTGCTCTTCTACTTGGCCAATCTGGGACCGCTGAAGACCTTCCTGCAGCTTGCAATTTGTGGTTCGGTCCAGCTTCTGCTGGGCGCCCCCTTTCTGCTCTCCCATCCGGTGGAGTATCTGCGTGGCAGCTTCGACCTGGGCCGCATCTTCGAGCACAAGTGGACGGTGAACTATAGGTTCTTGAGTAGGGAGTTCTTTGAGCACCGTACGTTCCACCTATCTCTGTTGGGCCTGCATTTGGTGCTCCTGCTAGTGTTTGCCAAGCCCACGTGGACCTTCTTCCAGAGCTATGTTCGCCTGCGCAGTGTCCAGGACCAACTGCAGCCGCAAATTGCCAAGAAGAATAGCGAAGTCCAAGCCCAGAGGAAGAGCAAGAAGGAAGCGAAAAAGGAAAAGGACACGGAGAAGCTAAGCGCCGAACAGCAATCCTTTCTGAATGCCTTCGAAAAGACACTACAAAAGTCATCGGGCGGCAAGGCAGCGGCTCCTCCAGCACCCGCTCCCGCTCGGGCGGAGGCCGAGCGCTATGGCATCCACTTTGAACGGTGCACGCAACTGGCCCTGCTGCCCTTTTTCCTGTGCAACTTCATCGGCGTGGCCTGCTCCCGCTCGCTGCACTATCAGTTCTACGTTTGGTATTTTCACTCGCTTCCATATCTGGTCTGGTCCACGTCCTATACCCTGGGCGTGCGCTATCTCATTCTGGGCATCATCGAGTACTGCTGGAACAGCTATCCCAGCACTTATCTGTCCAGCTCGGCCCTGCATCTCTGTCACCTCGTATTGCTTTTCGGTGTGGCCCGTCAGATCTTCCAGACCATGCGGCTGAATGCGGCGGCCAAGCAGAAGCAACAACAGCAGAAGAAAGTGCAATAACTAGTCATACAGTAGTGATCCACACTGTACTTGTAACCAAATGTAATGAAGCTTAAACTATTTATGGATGTACTTTTATTTAGTCTTTTGTAGTGGCGCTGTACAAAGTGCCGGGGGAATTGGTTACCAACTCGCCCAACGAAAATAAGATTCAAGCTAGGATCTACATAAAATAGCTTACAACAATGTCCGCTTAAAACTAAGGGTACAATAATACGACGAGGGGATACGATTCTCCCCATTTGTTAGGCGACATTTTAATCGCTTCCCACCGCTGTCGTGGGCGTTCGCAGTGTCAGCGGCGTGACCGATGGAGGTGGCGACATCTCGCTTGGCCCCGACGCTGTCGCCGTCTCGTCGGGTGCCACGCTGCTGCTGCGCTGAACGCTGAAGAAGCGGAGCAGTGTTGTCTCACTGTTCCGGCGACTGGAGGTGGGTGTGCGTGGCTGTGGTTGTGGTATGGATCCGCTTGAGCCGCCCGCACCACCTCCAGCATCAGTGTGCGAGATGCGCCGCCGGGGAGTGGCCTTTAAGCGGGGACTGCACTCCGACTGACGGAGGCACTGGAGACGCGGCGAGGCCAAAACATCCACAGAGTTGGCCTGCTGCTGCTCCTCGTTGATCTTGTCGCTGAGCGAGACGTGCGCCCTGCCGTTCATCAGCTTCTGCTTGCGTATGTTCGTCAGCCAGTCGACCTTTTCCTTGGCCTTGCGCTTGGGCGACATTATGGCCAGATGCGGTGCCTCCCCGTCCAGCACGTAGTTGGGCAGGTTCGATGTGGGCGAGTAGATCACAGAGGAGAGGGGCTGCTGGCCAGCTCCCTCGGAGGCAGCCGCTGCCGCCGCCGCTGCTGCAGCTGCAGCTGCGGATGTGGTGGGTGGTGAGGCGTATATGTGGTTGACATTCTCGCTGAGCGGCGAGTGGGCCGGCGAGGAGTTGAGGCTTAGCAGCTTGGTCCCCGGGGAAATATCATCGGCGGCTGCGTTCTCCTTTTGCTTTTTGCTGGGTGATGCTTCTTCCTCGCCAATCGGCGGCAGCTGAATATGCCTGCAAGTGGGCTCTTGGCTAGAGGGCCCAAAGAGTCGCCTTCCGCGGGATTCCAGGGGCTTGGTTCGTTTCTGCGGTTGCTCGGCATCTACCTCGCTGCTGGCCACGCCCAGCATGTCCAGAAATGAACGCTTCATGGCCACCTTTTCGATGGAGCCGGGCGTGCGTTCGTTCTGGTCCATCAGGCGCTTCAGCGAGCGTGGCGTAGACTCCAGATCCCTCAGGTTGTACTTGTGGTTGCCGGTGGCCGGAGCCGTGGACTTTTTGCTGAATTGGCGCACATAGCTTGCATGGCCGCGATACTTGTCCGCCCTCTCGGCCTCGCTAAGACCCTCCAGGTCGGGTCCCATGCGCCAGATCTTATGCCGCGCATCGTCGCTGCAGGTGACAATGGGACAGTCGTGGGAAGAGCCCCAGGCGACGCAGGTCACCTCGACCGTGTGGCCCGACAGAGCCACCAGCGGCTCCTCTGCATGTTCTAGGTTCCAGATGTACGCCCGCTCGTCACTGCTGCCGCTCAACAGGTACTTTCCATCCGGACTTAGGCAGGACTTGATGTAGAAGGTGGAATTCAGCAGACCCTTGTAGCAGGCCAGCGGCTTGGGGGAGTACGATACCAGATTGTAGCAGTAGATCGTGTTGTCCATGCAGTTGGCAAAGAGCCGCGTCCCTGCCGCATCCACAATGAGATTGGTAAATCCCCGGAAGGTGGAGTGTCCGGCATACGGCAGCTTGTGCCTGGGCAGCGGCTCCTTCCTGTAGGCCGTATAGTTGCGTCGCAGATCCCATACCTTGATCACACCGTCGCCAGCGCCACAGGATATCAGGGTGTTGTCGTCCTGGAAGGCCAATCCCGTGATGCTGCTCGAGGTGGCGCTGGACGACATCTTGGGCGTGCGTGAGCGCTGCTTTCGCTGCGAGACGGGCGTGCCCGGTCCCCCCGTGTGCCCGCTGTAGATGCAGTTGTCCACGCGAGAGGTCAAATCCATGTTGAGATTGGCCCGTATGTCCCAGATGAGAATGGCTCCGTCTCGCCCGCCAGTGGCAAACACGGCTGGGTCTGTTCGCTTGAAGGCGGCCGACTTAACGGATCGTGTGTGGCCAATATACGAGTTGAGTCCCCTAATGCCCGAGCCAGCCACCTCCCAGAGCCGTGCTGTGTGGTCCCCCGAGGCGGAAACGAACCGCATCTGCCCCGGGGCCCACTCCAGGTCGAAGACTGCATTGTAATGGCACTGTGGCCCCGGCAGGGACTGCTCCTCCGGCTCGTGGTTGCGCTGTGTGGTGTCCTGCAGTGTGATCTTGCCATCCTCATTGGCTATGGCCAGAATGTGCCTATAGCCGTTGCAATTGGCAAACTTGGCCGAAAATATGGGCGGCTCTGGGTTGAAGTCCGGGCAGTAGTTGGCCGGAGCGATTCCCCGCCAGCTGTCCTCTTTGGCCACGCACAGACGACGCAGGGCGAAATCGTAGGTCCGCTCGTTGGCTGCAATGAGAGTGAAAAAGCCAGAAATTAGTGCAGCTCTCAGATTGTCTCCATCGTGGTCTGCGTCTTTGTCTATGTTGCAGTCTAGTTTTTCAATACGTTTTCGCTTGCGCTGCAATTTCGGCTAGAGACCCGGAGATCTGGAGAACCCTTCCCTGGATGAGACAGCGACGGATCACAGACTGATCCCAGGCTTAGCTTATTGCCACTAGAGTGCCACAGACTGATCCCAGGCTTAGCTTATTGCCACTAGAGTGCCAATTGCCATTTCATTTCAATGTAACTTGTCGAATTAATCACATATTTACATAGAAAATTCGACCGCCAAAAGTGAAATTCTCCCGCCATTCGAAATACTCACAGAACCCGTGCTCCCTGCTGCGCAATTTGTTGTCTATGTTCATTTTGACACCAGCTATACGAATAGAGCTCCTTTGGATCGAATTACACTAGTCTAATTGCTATTTTATTCAAAATAAAACAATAGAAAACGATGCTAGCATATTTTCAACGACGCAGCTGGACCGTAGAGATGGAAATGGGGCGGCGCGAAGGTTATCGATGCAGGTGCTATCGAGAACAGTTAACCCATTGTCGACCCCGAAAATTATAAATCTTTAAAAATCAAAGCGTATTTGAGATGTATGCTTCATCGTGGGATTTTTTATGCAAAGATGAAAGATAAGATGGACCTACAAGAGTTATTATTATTATTTGTGTTATATTCCCCGACTTAAATCGAGTTGGTATCTTGTTGAAATAAAGGGGGCCTAAGTGGGTTAAGTTCTTTTGTTATCGGTATATTTCCTGTATGTTTGGAAGATAAGACGGTATATTTCGGTATTTTTCTGAGGGTCAGACGGTATTTTCAGTCCGCGGTCACACACACTGTTGCGCTCATTCATATTTTGTTTTGTTGCTCGCTGCTGATTTTTTTTTAAACAATTGGAACTACGCATAAACTCAGCCAAGAATCGTTCTATTTATTATTTATGTAAATGCTGTTTTTATTCGGAATTTTTGTATGTAACGCAGCAGTAGATTAGCAGGAACCACTTCATACAAAAGGAACTCAAACGGAATTTCAAGGATACTCGGCCACAGGACTGCAGCAACAAAAACACAGGTGAGCCTTGCCTGAGCGCCAAACTCGACCTTCTTTCCCTCCCCACCACCCGGCCTGGACGAGTGTGGGTGGACGAGCCTGTTGCAATCAATAATACTCGGAACAGCACAAATCCACAATCGTCCATACACCCAACACCAGCAACAACAACAACAATAATGATATCAAACACGCAAATGCATGAACACGACAGCGTCGGAAACGACGATAAGTTGGCCCAGAAATTCCGCTCGCTAAGACTTTTTGTGGACGCTTCAGTGATTGTGGGTTGAATGCAAAACGAAAGAAAATGCCTCTAGACTCGAGGAGTAGCGCACTTCCGCGTTGGTCATTTGGCGGCTCATTGCCCATTTGTCCTTCGGTTCCACCACCACAAACTCTCTCTGCTCTGTCTCTCCCCATGTCCGTTTTTCGGACCGTATTATTGCATTTCGCGTGACCTTAACCATTTGGAGCGGTCCGTGTCATGGTACGGTTTGCTAGTTAGAAATAGATTCAGAACTAGAACTGGAAAGAAGCGAAGATAGAATTCACTTAGTTAAATGAAAGACTAGAGGTGGACAAGAACGACGACCAATGGCGTTAATAAGTGTCCGGGAATTGGAGGAACGGAAGCGGTTTATCTATTCGCACGTTATGACCCCAGTTGACCCTACAATTTCCCCAGAGGAGTCCCCCCAACCCTGGTCTTGAATAACGGTTGAGGTGCGGCAAGGCAAGGCTCCTTTTTTGGACAGTTGGGAAAACTTGCCGCACGAGCCATTTGCGGCATAGACACGTACAAATAGCGCGTGCCGCGTCGCAGCGAACCCGTTAGAACAGCCTTATGAATAACCCAAGTGGATTGTGGTTTGCGCTGACTGGTCGACACATGCCTATGGAGTCATACACACAGCCACGGGCCTACCATTATTCTTTCTTTGATTGAAACACAAAGACAGAAAGAAAATAAACCGCAGCGCAGTTGAAGAAGCAGTAGGTTTCTTTATCAAAAGATACGACGACTATTAACATTGCCTAATCGTACATGTGCCCACCCATATGTCTCTGTCTCTGTTTCTGTGCTTTCCTTATCAATTATCATGCTTGCAACTGGATCGACGTGTGTGTAGCCCAACATGTCGGTGGCAGGTCTACGACAGTCCCTGCTCCTATGGAGCGTAGACTACTGGAACTTGGAAGGTAAAAGTGTGGATTCGAATTGGTATTGTGCATATCTTTTCTCTCCATTGGTTTTCAGTTGTTCGTTCAGTTGTTTTGCGTTATTTCTGTTGTTCAACAATACAGATGCAGTGCGCGATTCGCGATGAATATGCAACAATAATAATAATATCTCTCATACTCCCATTAGTCATGGCTGACAATGTGTTCAAGTCGCAAGATATCGGGCTACGCGCTCAAAAGAAAATCCTCTCACGCATGGCAACGAAAAATATTGCAAAGACATTCATCGATGGGACAACGGCCTCGCTGCTGGATAACCTGTACAGGCTGTGCAAGATGCATACCGGCAACAAGGCCAAGGCGGAGAAGCTGATCAAGAATATCATCAAAATAGTCATCAAGATTGGAGTTCTGCATCGGAATAACCAGTTCAGCGACGAGGAGCTGCAAAGAGCCGAGAACTTTAAACGCAAGTTTCAGGTAATCTACAATAATAAAACATTCTGCTTGACGGCTTCGTTCATTTCTTATCGATTTCCCTTGCAGAACACCCAACTGTCCATCATATCATTCTACGAGGTAGACTACACCTTCGACCTGGCCTATCTGCAAAAGTCGATAGCGGAATCGCAGGTGGCACTCAAGTCGATTGTGCAACCGCATCTGACGGACAAGTCATTAGGTCGCATCGATGAGGTGTTTGATTTCTTTGGCGATGCCGTGCTTTTGGAGACGGCCTTCAAGCCGGACTCGCCCTACCGCGAGGTTATGGGCAAGATTGTGGCCGACATCAACTCCGCCATGGAGACGGGCGACATCTGAGGGCTCTTATTGCATGCACTGAAATGCGACTTGTCGAAAGAAACCAAAACAACACAAAACAGCATGAGACACTAAGAGCTATCTGCAAATTGGAAATGCTTGGCTTGTAAGCTCCACCCACCAACACCAACACCAAAACACAAAACACACAAAACTGAGGATAGTACAGACAGAAAAGACATATGTTTAGGCCAGAGTTTAGTTTAATTTTGGATAGTGATATATCATTGACAGCAACAAATATCAAAAGTGAACAAAACGTCCGTATTGTATTGATTTATTTAACGACAATGTTAACATTTTGTAACGATTAAGAACTACTACTATATGCATTTTGCCAAAGGAATTAACCAAACGGAAATTGTAAACTCTAGCAAAATGCTTGTATCTGTATCTGTGTGTTTGTATGAATGTATCTTTGTACCTTAAAGCTTGTAAGTCGTGTCTATGTAAATGTGGAAAATTTCTGCATAAAAGCAATTATTTATGGTATATATTTAGAAATGTGTATCAGTATGTGAAGGATACTCCGTTTTGTTACTCTTAATACTCGCTGTGTCCACTCTTCTATCAGTCTTACAGTACTTAATTAATTAATCGTTGTTGATCTCCACCAACAAGCGTTGCTTTCCCTTCAGAGACCAGCACCACACAGAACACAGAAATCACATATTTTACTTGTTGTGAATGCTAGTCTATATTTAGTTCTTAATGCTAAGCTGACACTAGAACCTGCTTATCCCTCTTCACCACACCTGTCTGCGAGCCATTTGTTACGCATCGATTTGTATTTTGTATCTTATGTATGTATTCCAAGCCCCCGTCCCAGAGCCAAAGGCATGGGTCGGTCACTCACCCTAAAGCATTATTTATGATATTCCACTTCGGTTGTTCACACAATGATATTCTATGTATCCATACCCAAGGCATATCGAAACGTCGGACAATAAGTTGATTGATTTTTGTATGACTTTGTCCAGAATATTGTTAGTTACAAACCAATGTTCGATATTAGGTACATTTTGAGAGAGCACAATTTTAGTCGTTTAGATTTTAAATATTTATTGTTTTACCAACAGAATTATGTTGAGTATGAAAATAAAAGCAACAAATACCAAAAAGTTAACTATATTTCATTCTTAAATCATACACTTTCCCTACTCCTCTGCTCACTCTGCACGTTTTTGACTTAACACATCCTCATCCCCCAGTTGTTTCTGCTGCCGGAACAGTTCAATGAGCTTCTCGGTGGCAGTTTGTGGAGCATCCAAGGGCTTAGATGCCTCAACGCTGGGATATTCCTGACCATGAGCTTCGGGGGAGCGTAGCAGAAAAGGCGTCCAGGGCCCCTGGATGGATGGTACATCGGTGTGCCACATTTTCCGCAGACGCAGCGAACTGGAGCTGCCGTTTTGTGTCCTTAACAGATCGACCCACTTGGTTATTTCCTCCTGGGTGCTGTTGCGGCAGCTCAGCCACTCGCGATCACCGTTCACTGCGAGAAATTAGTATTATCCAATAGTAAAGACAAACTAGCCCTCTACTTACAATACTCGCCAACCAGAACCGGTGTGCGGTGGCGACGCGGCTTCACGTAGACCACAATTCCGGGGTTCTCCTTTGCAAAGTCCACCAGGTGGTTCTCGATGAAATCCCTACGGATTGGATTGCACATGGTTGGATGGCATTTTCATTTAACTTTAACACAATTCTTACCGCATGCCTTTGCTGGAGCCATTGTTCTTGCAGAATTTTAGCGTGATTCGCTGCAGTTGGCACACATAGCGTCCCAAACCATTCTGCAGGGGGGCCCGTGGGAAGCCAGACTTTAAAAACAAATGACTGTTGGACATTATTCAAACACGCTTTGGTCAGAATTTATTTCAATTTTCGTATCCAAAATCGACGTAACCGGCCAGCTGTTTGTGCTGTAGACAGTGATGCCAATCTAGCTCTAAACATATGTAGAGAGAATTAGTTAGATTAAACCACCTAGCAACCTTATGTCATACATTCCTATATATATATATAGAATAATAATTATATTACTTTATTGTGCTATTTTTTGAATTTGCAAAAGTTTGAGTTCCTCTGTTTTTGTATATTTCTACTATATTTTGGCTTGATTTGAGCTAACTTTAGCGGCAGAATTTCCGAGCCAAGCTGTCACCTCTGATTCTATGCAGGGTTGTTTTATGCGCCGCCAGTTGATAACGGCGAAGAAGCGGCACAAAAGAGACAACAAAAATGCAGGTCGCGTCGTTTTTCTTTTGATTGGAAAATACCCCGACATAGAAATAGAAAGCGTGCAACGTGGTGTTAAGTGGAGCACACAGAGAGCTGGCCTCGACGCGTGGCTTATCAGTGAATTTTGAAAACATAAAATGGCCACAGTAAGCAAGCAAATGATTTTTATTGCAACTTGCAGCTTGGTAAACAGCATCTTTGCATAGGTATTTGGGGCGTCAAAGTCAAAGTTCCCAAAGCACGTAGTGCCTGATGTCGTAGCCGAGAAGGAGGAGGAGGAGGAGGAGGAAGAAGAGGAGGATGACGACGATGAAGAAGAAGACTCTGCCGAATCGGGCTCGACAACCTCGTTCAGTCTTCAGGAGTGCATAAACGAGTTTCGGGCCCGCCGCATTAGACGCGTCTCCACCCAAAGCCGCGACTGTGACAACAACCACAACATGCCAAGTGAGGACCAGCCCGTGCGCGTACGAGGCACATCCGCCGATGCGGACTTAATTAACCAGAATCGCTGTAACAAGGCCCAGGAGCGAAAGGGCAAGCCATGCAAGAATGGTTTTTGCTATTGCTTCACCAGCGACAGTGGCGATTGTGCCTCCACGGCACCGACACGAGAGTCGCACGTGCGCCAGCCCAGACGCAGCAGGCGTTCCGAAAGCACTAAGGTACAAGTACTAAAACCCTTTCAGACAATCAAATAACTGATGTTTTTTCATCCACATGATACGTGTGCTTGTCCAGGCGGCCAGTGCGTCCAAGCCGCTGGTCCAGAACCATTTGGACAGCCAGAGGCAGCAGGTGGGACGTCGTCACAGTGAGCCGCCCAACGTGAAACAGACCTCAAATATTCCTTTGACTGCCATAAGCAGTATATGTGCCGTCGGCGATGATGCTCCGCTCATACAGATTATTCAGGAGCTGCGCGATAATTGTGTTGTGTCAGAGGTGCGCGTGAACCGACAGAAGCTGTCAGGATCAGGCTGCCAGCCAAGGTCTTCGCCTGTTAAGACCTGCAAAGTGAAGGCATACGATCCGATTACATACAAACCCACTGCCCCGGCCTTGTCAAACATCAGCGAGCAGGATTCTGCCCTGGAAGAGGAGCCGGAAATGGCTCAAACAGAACAGCCGACTAGTCTGCAGTCCGCTCGCCAAAGCTCCCGGTCGCGTCGCAGCTCTGGTGCAGGTGGCCGTCTCCTCCAGAAGCGTTTGTTACAGGGTCTGGGGAATTTCAAGAGACGCGATTGCCAAGAGCCACCACCGAAGCCGCCGCGCCGTAGCTGCCAGAGTCTCGATGGGAAATTCTCACTGTCTTCGTTGGCTTCGACAACGCCTTCAGTGCGGGAGGCTGAGCGTGTTTTGGACGAGTTCCTGCGCCAGAGAGGCGTCACGGTACCCAGTAGCAACAATAACTCGCCTCGAAAGGATAAAAAGAGCAAGCGCAGGTCCTATCCGATGGGTAAGTGGTAGCCGAAGCCAAAGAATGAAACTGAAACCCAAACCAAATTGGAAACAATATCCCTTTTAGCTAAACCAAATCAAATTAAACTTCAATTTTCTTGTCAAAATAAAAAGATCTTTTGTTTACCAATTGAGTTACGGTTTCATTTCCTGGTCCCAGGTCCTATTACTTCTCTATTTCGCCTCTTAACTCGCTTCAAATTGCAGCCGAAGTGGAGAAGCCCCGGCGCAGCAGACAGCTGCCTACGTGTCCCTCGCTGAGCGACATTGAGCGAGTTGTGGAGTCCAAGCGTGGCTCGAACTACGCCCGAAATATACAGCAGGCCAGTAGCAAGGGAAAGAATGCCGTAGCCGACAAACCCATGAAGGAGATCCTGCTAGGCTGGACAGAGCCAAAGATCAACGACATGTTGAACTACGAGAACAAGCGGAGTACCCATTTCAAGACCCAGGCTCCTATGGCAGAGCCCCAAGTGGCCATTGGCTGGCAGCTACCACAGCCTGTAGTGCCTAAGATCTCCTTAGACACTGTCGACGGCAGTATGTGCGAGAATCTGGCCTCCAACATAGACCGCAAGCACACTCCCATCAAATATCCGCGAGGCATCAAGTCTGCTGGCGGACAGACCAGCAATAAGTTCATTTGGGGCGAGCAGTTGCGCAACTTTTCGCCGCTGAAGGCAGCCAACAAGCAGCCTACACTCAAAACCAAGTCCAAGAACTTTCTTAACAACTCAAAGAACAAGATACTGCGCTTTGTGTCGCCCAAAAAGTCAAATCACCCGGAGAACCCGGCGCGACGGCCCACACCTACTCCCCGACTCTGCACTGTGGGTGTTCAGACATCCACATCGCAGTTGGATCTGCAGTCGCAATCCCCACCGGGCAGCTATCATTCCCCCATGCAGTCGACGCCATCGGCCACAACGACATCCACCAGGCAGCAGCCGGACAAGGAGAGCAGCGGCGACCAGCCGTACTTTGATTTCGAACGCAAGATCGAAGCACCGAACCCGCCCAAGAAGATGCCACGTGCCACGAACCGTGCTCGCAAACTGAACTTCCATACTGAGGCCGAAGCACCCACCACCTATCGCTCCTTTCACAAGGATCTCGACCAGGATGTAACCATCACCAAAATGGGCTACCTGTTGAGCAATATTCGGGCCAAGCTGGAGGCGAGCGACGACCGCGCCGTGCGAACCTTTCGGGTGAGTCTAGGTCGAGTCTTTCATAAACAAATTTCGTATCTTTATTGACGAGTCAAAATATCCTTAGGCCTATGGCTCATGGCTTATGGCGTATAGTCTAGATAAGGTTAAATACAACGCCCAGAGCGTAGTGATCAGATCCCAAATAGTGATTGGGTATGGGTCCGACGTGGTAGCAGACGTTGACCGTCGGCAGACCATAAATGCTAGTCACCTGCAGCTGGTGCTGGCTTTTATCGCTTAGGGAGCGCAGAATGTAGTCCACGGTGATCCAATTGTCTTGCCGTGTGGATGCAATGCTGGGTCCCTTGGGACCTGGCGGTCCCATCTCCACAACCTTAAAATTGAGCAACTTTGCGGGTGGGCTGTCTGCGGTGATAATCTCGAAGGGCGGAGAATTGGGGACGCTGTTGAAGTCTCCAGTTAATACTATGGGCGTAACTTGGCCACTCTTTGGGTCGCATGAAAATGTCTCTAGCTCTTCAAGCAGCCTGGTCACCTGGGCACAGCGCACATCATCGCGCTTGGGATTGTATAGCAGGTGGGTGGTGGCCACTATGAACTCCTTCTCCGTCTGACCTTTCAGCCCGAGTTTGGCGAATAGAGCCACATTCTCGCGATTCAGCAGCTTCACATTCTGATCGTAAAACTCGATTGGCCGCTGGTCCAGCAACTGGAACTTGCATGCGTCGTAGATGATAGCACAGCCGTCAGTGCGCTCGCCAGTCTTTTTCTTGTAGACGTACTCCAGTTTCTTGCCATTGCCCACCCGGAGTCCCTGCATTAGATCAAATATGTGGTCGTACTGCATCTCCTGGAGACAGAGAATGTCCGGGTCTAGTGTCAGTATTTCCCGCTGGATGTTCTGCAGGCGACGTCGCCAGGTCAGACAGTCGGTTCTGAGTTCCCCATACAGATAGAAATGTTCTACCAGCAGGTCCTGGGCGAGTATGTTGTACGAAACTACTTTAAAGCTGGAGTCCTTGCTCACGTGACCGTGTCCATGTCCGTCTTTTGTGCGCCTCCATTGCCGGTTTCTGTCGTATCTATCCATGGCGTCGTGTATTTGGTCACTACTCTCGTTCCTCCTGCTGCTTCTGTGCTTGGCTGTGCTGACCCCGAGGGTGCGAATGAAGGAAGCTTGGCCTGGCAGGGATCGGAGCAGGAATTTGTACATATCACTCGATGCGCGTCCCCATCGAGTGCAACAGATTTCAAATGCGCCAAAAGCCAAAAAGGTAGAAAAAAAAACTATGCTCTCGTCAGCTGTTTGCTTGTTGCTTTCGTCTGTTCTTCGCAGGGATGGGTTTGCGCGCGTAATCGAAATCGATAATGGTGGTTTCTAATCGAAATTTAAATATTCGCGGTTGGTTTCAATTGCAGATGCAGGATTTTAATTAATTAATTACTGTATATTTGTGTTCGTCTTCTCAGGATTCTTCACGCGTTGAGGCAATCGAGCGTCAAAAGGAGAGCTTCGATTGCATTGACGGGCCACATAGCTTGAGCGCAACATCGGCCACAACTCAATATCAACGTGATACGACATATGTGGCAACCACTCAATATCCACGTGATACGGCATCTGCAGCAACCTCGCAATATCCACGGGACACGACATTTGTGAGATCTACTCAATCCAAACGTGACACGACATTTGTAGTACCTACTCGGCATCAGCGTGATCTCGATTGCGAACCCATTTATTCAGAGATCGAAGAGGACTGCTTGCGTATAAGGGGCAGTCCGCAGTACGAGGTCAGGACTGCAGTGGAACGACAGCCCAGCGATGCCCAAACTTCAAGCTCCACGGCGACTGGGAGTGAGTCGACAGCGGCTGTCTCTGACTTGACTGTGCCTGCGGATCTGTCAATACTCTATGCAAGGGTGCAGAAGCCACAGAAGAAGCCTCAGCCGAGTCTGCCTCCAGTAAATCTGACTGCCCAGCCGGTGGCATTGGGGCAGTGTCTGCAAGAGTCCCTGAAGAGTGGCAGCTTCTTTAAGTTCATGCCACTGCCTGATGAGCCTAGTAGCGAATGTTCTCGCTCTGAGTCCACAAGCGAAACCACAGATTCGTCGGTGATTCGCAAGCCAAAACCGACGTCCCCACCCATGCACCAGTCGCTAAACAATATAAACGAAAGGAACTCGCCACCAAAGAAGAACCGAAACCTGTCGAGGTCCGAGCTCTCCCTGCAGCGCAGCCAGATCTTCCTGGACAATTTCTGCCGCAGCGAGCTTGTACTCGATCAGGACGAGCAGCTCAACACTCGCCTTGAAAAGATTCCAAATGTGAGTATACGCAGCAAATACTACCTCATACGCATACTTATCCTTGTCCAACTACTTGCAGACCTGCCTCAGAGCCAGTAGCCCCCGCAATGAGGATGCTGTCTCCTACGACATGCCCGAGGGACTGTACGATGATTACGCCATTGAGGATGCCAGCGCCGGCAGTTCCTTTGCCACCAACGACTACGGATCGTGCCAGATTGAGCCGCCGCCGCCTCCGTCAGAGAACCAGAGCACACCAAAAAAGAAAAGCCAACGATATACAACTAAGGTAGAGATTTTTGTTGACTCCTATTAGCGCCTAAGGCTTTCTGCTTTCACTTGCCATTGCCATGTTCTTGGAGATTGTAACCCTTTGAATATATATATCCATAACTACACTGTACACAGCTCGCGCTTCTGAAGCATTTGAAATATATGTAAGCTGCTTCCTTTGGTTATCTAAACACGCGTAATAATTCATTTTCCAGCCACCGAGCAATCTCAGCATCGACATCAACGATGCCACACAGTCGCCAGCGCGTCCATTTGGCCACAATCTCAGCCACAGCTGCCCAACGACTCCACAACAGCCGGCTAAACCATCCGCCCAGCTGGCCCACAACAGCAGCAGTCTGGGGGAGCTGGTCCAATCGCTACCCAGCCCCACTGACAGCCAGCTGATGTCGGTGAGCGCTCTGGCCCGCTATCGCCTCCTCAAGGATGCCCTGCGGCGCTCTTACCGGAAAGGCAAGGACTTCTTTCTGGCGGAGAAGCATCGACTGACCCACAGTCTCAATATGTCCCGCGATCAGTCCAACCAGACCGACGGGGAGCTGGACAGCAGCACCTACTACGCCAGCTTCAATCTCGACTGCCTGCTCAATGAGTCGCTAACCACCAGCGAGCAGCTGGCGCAGGCTGTCAGCATTTGTCGGAAAATGCCCGAGCTGGAGATCTCCAACGAAATGGTGGAGGCAGAGCGCCTTTTGCTATTCTCAACCCTGCGACAAAGCTCTCCCGCTGATCCTGGCCAGGCCAGCGATGCCGTTCTGGCTGCCAGGCGGCAGGCGCAGTGCGTCCTAATCGATGCCATGCAGCTGCCAGTGAGATCAGATGCCAGCCAGGACATGTTCTTCAATTACCATTACATTTGCACATACGAGTTCGAGGGACGCATTTGCTCCACCCAATCGGTGGAGTGCCAGAATGGCGTTGCCCTGTTCCGTGACTGCGGACTGGAGTTCTACAGCGCCGGCCCGGTGGAGGCGATGGAGTTGCGCTGTCAAATATTTATGTTTCGGCTGCGCAAGATCTCTACGCTGTCGCTGGAGCCAGCCAAGACAGTGGTAAGTGGCTCTAGTCCGACTTGCAGGACCTCGCTAAAATTTTCTCTGCTTACAGAAACGCGGTACCAGCAATCTGTGTTCGTCCACATCCAGCTGCTCTGGCAGCTCCGCGGGTGAGCGAGTAGTATCCCGGTTTCGCCTACATGCCTCCTTCTGTTTGCGTGCCATTGATTTGGCTCCATTCGAGCTGTTGGCCAGCGAGACGCAGGCCAGTGATCGGATTTGCTTGCGAAGCTCACGATCCTGGCAGCTACCATTGACTACCCACACAAAATCGACCAATCTGGCGCCCGAAATATCCGTGACGGGGCGTGTGGAGGTTCGTTTGCCCAAGTCACATTACTCTGGCTATTTGAATGTGGAGGATCCGCAGAGGAAGCACCACTGGAATCGACGCTGGTGCACCCTCGACGGTGTACAGCTGTCCGTGTGGCAGCACGAAGACGATCTCAGTGAGCAGCCGCCCCTCTTCTCATTGCATCTGCAGGGATGCCCGCAAGCCTCGATAGCTGCGGCACCGCGAGAGCTGTGTGCTCGTGCCCGGAGTTTTCTCCTACGGGAGAAGGAAGCAGCCTTGGGATTCTTTTTTGCAGCCGACACTCAGCCGGAACTAGACGAATGGCTATTGCATCTGAACGAATCTCTGTCTTTCGCCAAGCGATGGCTGGTCGCACCTTGAGGGATACACTATTTTATTCTATAATTTTATTGTGTGTTTATGTTTTCTCTTTATATTTTGTAGTCTTAAATTGTAAACTACCTTCTGGGATAGGATAAAATATGTTGAGAACATTTGTTCTACTTATGCTGGTCAAAGGAGAGTTTACTCCCCATCCACCGACTTACCATTCCGGTAACATTCCGCCATCGCTGCCTTTTCTGGGGAGTATACTCGTAGTCTCTATCTTTAAATCGCCTGTTTATGGGGCTGTAGTGTACGTTACAACAACAACAGTTTATTACATACATAATTTACATCGGTTATAATAGTTCGTTAAGATATATTGTATATATATATATATGCATATGTAAAGTTTTGTCAACTGGATATAGATTACTATATAGTATGGTACATTAGTGTATGTTTTTTTTTTATGCGCTCCGTGTGCTCTGTGGATATTCTGTGGATTAGGGTATTCTAAAGCCCCCACACTCGTGTGCCTAGTTTATGTTAATGAATAGTACCCATACTATACTAAATATAGTATATGTACTATTAAAAATAAGCTGCTTTGTAATACGGGTTCTGAGTCCGCGTTTGCTCATTACAGTGCAAAAACATAAAGTCTGAGGTTATGTTTGTTGTGGTATGTGTCAAGCAATTTACATACTTACGAGTATATTGTACGACGTTACTCTAACAATTACTATTACAATTAAATAGTTGGTGTCTTCTCCTACTAGTCTCTGTATCTGTATCCTGTATCCTGTATTTGTATTGATCCTGATCCTGTTGATAACTATCTGATTCTGATCTATTTTTTGTATATATTTCTATTTCTGTACGGGTTATAAGTGGACATGCTGGAGAGCGTCTATAACGGTAGTTATTTGGGGTTCGGGGTCTGTATTGGCTCTGCGACCTTTAGGGCTTAGGCCAGAACGTACTTCCAGACGCGATTTGTCTGATGATTGGTTCCGATCTCAGTGACATACAGGGCCGACCCGTTAACACTGACGGCCATCGAATGCGGATTTTTGAAGTCGCCCCAGTGCCCGATAATGGCCTCCGACCGCGGATCGATGGTGAAGCCGCACACGGGCAGCATCGAGGTGGGTCCGTTCACGGCGAACACTATATCGCCGTAACTGGCGACGCCAAAGACGCGACCCAGATCTGGCTCCTGTATGGTGGCTGCAGGCTCACCCTCGCCATGGGAAGACTTCAAGCCGGCTCTGGAAGAGTTTCATTTTGCAATTTGGGAATCGTTTTAGGATTGCTTTGCTACTCCACTCACTTGGGACAGACGACGCGCATATTCTCGCGGTCAGCGATGCACAGTAGATCCAAGTGCTCCAACAGGGTGATGGCATGTGGCACCTGTAGTGACAGAAACTCTGGAAGGGATTTTGGAATGTTATGATGAACACTCAAATATTAAATATATGTACGTACCTGGTGGCTGTGGAATCGTACGAAGCAGCTTGCCAGCGGCATTGAACTTCAGGATGCGACTGTTACAGTAGCCATCGGCGATAAAGAACTGTGAATACATACATATATGAAAACATTCTTCCTAGTCAAAGGGCCTGAGAGTCTTACCTCTCCCGTGGTGGCCACGGCTATGGAAGTCGGCTTGCACAGATGTTTGACGGAGGATCCAGGGCGGAAGCGTTTGCCAATCGTAAGAAGAGGCTTGCTGCCGAAGGGCTTAAACTAAACCAGGACTATATAGTATAGGACTAGATAAAGGACTCTGTATAAAAAGTATGTACCTTGAATGCCTGGTGCATAGCCACGTCCGTAATCCAGTAGTTGCCATGAATATCGATGGTCATTCCATGGGGCATGTAGAACATATTTGAGCCCCAGCCAGATTTAATGGCGCCCGTCTTCGAGTCTAGGACATAGATGGTCTTCTCCTTAATCGGCCCGTACTCGATGAGGTAGTAGATATTGCTTTCGTTGAAGGTGCTGCAAGCAGATTGGACACACAAATCAGATATGTATACGTGTCCCACGTGAGAGTAGACACTTGTTACTATGCAACAGCGACAGCTGTTGACCTACTTTACGTCCCAGTAGCGGTCGGCGCGATGGAAAATGACTGGATTGCCCTGTGGGTCCACGGAGACGGCGGTGACCTGGCCGAAGCTGTGCTGCTCGGTGGGCCAGTTCTCCACGAGCACAGGAGTGGGCACACTGGCCGCCGGAATGGGTACATTGTCGTAGCTGCGCTGGTTCTGCAGGGCCACCTCATCGTCCACCAGTGGCAGCTGCGGCGGCTGCAACGGACAGTGGACAACCCCTGACGATGTGAACGACACAGTTTTTTGGTGGAGACTAGCTCACCTGAAGGTCCTTCTGCTGCATGCGGCGCTTGATGAGCGCCCTCACCTGGTTGAAGAACCGTTCGTTGAGGTTCACCCCCCCTGGCAGGTGGTTGCTGTTCGCGGCCACTGCTCCCAGGCAGAGCGCCAGCAGCGCCACAAGATGAATGCACGACATTTGGAAGTCCTCTGATTTGCGTTTTTCTAGTGGCAGAAGTTTACTTGTGCTCTGCTTGCGCGATTTTCTGCTCTGCTAACATCTGTTGGCGGTGTCTATATGTTGCGCTGGCAATAGATTAACTGCCTTTGGACCACGAACTCCACTCCACTCCCCCACACGCACTGACGCTGATAGTCCCACGCTTTTCGATTTTCGCTTTCATTTTTGGCGCCTGCGCCTGCTGATCCCCAGCACACTGGGCCGTAGCCCATCCGCTCGGTAAATGGTTTGAAATGCCTGGATATTTTCAGATGTGCGTCTGATTGCCCCACTGTGGCCCTGCCGCAAGCTGTTGGAGATTGGAAAGCGTTTATTGATTTTCCAATAGGACAGAACAGTGAGGGCCAAAAGTAAGGCTTTATTCGATTCGATTATATGGTGCAAACGCCATCGATAACAGTTCGATGGCGAAATTCGATACGATTTTGTTGTGAACGTGCTCGATTAAGTTTACAATTAATGGTGCAATGAATAGAGAATCGATTTGGAGTTTGGAGGCCACTTTGGAGATGGAAGCATACAATCAGCAGTCAGTGTCTTTGACGTCACAGCGGGTGTTGGGCAGTGGGTGGAGCAGGGCCGTAATCCGTGGGCTTTACGTGGGCTATACGTGTGCTCTACGACCCCCAATCCCAGTTGGGCTGAGTCCAAATATAGCCAGTGTCCGTCATGGAGCAGTAAGCATTGTAATAGCGTCCCGGGGAGCTGTAAACAGTGAAACGAGACAGGCATCCCCTGTGCATCAGCGGACTCGCCGTCGAGAAGATGGTCACGTAACGCACTCACCGGCAGTAGGAGTACTGTGGACACTTGCACCGAAACAGGCTCTGGAACTCCTCCTTGCACACCTCGTTCCACCAGCAGGTGCGCTGCAATATGATCAAACAATCCAAGGGGGGAGGGGTTAATTAAGCCAATCTCCAGCTCTACTCACCCGCACACCACAGACCTCGGTCATATAGCCGTGAACGCTCTGGTCCGAGTAGCTGCGCTTCGTTAGATGCGCCTGTGCATCGGCCGGTGCGGGCACCAGGAGCAGGGACAGTCGGAGGCAGCAGCCCAGAAGCAACCACCGCGATGCCAAGGGCAGCCCTGTGATCACCTTAGCACAATTAGCAACAAAATAATCAAATTACATTTTTATATTTTTCAAATTATTTTCCTTTTTCCATTATGGTCTGACCTTTCGCATCGTTTCGGTTAGTAATGGCCTGTTTTTGCAGGTGCTGCTTTTTGTATTTTTCGTTATTGGTTTTTAGTTTCACTTAAAGCGGGGGCTTTTCTTCATAACTTTCACTGTACTTCCTCACGTGGTACATGCATGTCCTGTGGCGAGTGTCACGTGGCAACAACTGCTGGGGCTGGCCGTTCGGCAAAGCAACTGCAACGGGAACTGGAATCGGGACCCCAGTCGTCGGCTTTTCGCTTTCTCTAGACACACACACACACACGTGTACTCTTGCACATGCAGAAGTCCCTCTGTGTGTGCATGTGTGTGTGGAGGGTTCTTGTCCCACTGTTCATGGGGGCCACATGCAATTACAGGGTGAATCATTCAAAAAAGGTCTACCATCGGCTTATATTCATGAATGGGGAATGGGGATGTGTGCACCCTATAGGCATGTATCTTGGATGAAATCTTGACACAATACATTTCTTGATCAAATTCTTTTGTTTTGTTTGTCAACATTTCCCCGACGTCATCTCGCACGCGACATGACTCAGCACACCCGCATACCCGCAGAGATGCTTTAAATAGTTTGAAAGCTCATTTAGCTGCCAAAAGTATTTTCAGCCATCTCAACAGGTAGAAAATTATGAAAATCTCCTGATATACATGTACATATATATATGTATGTATGAATATATGTACACCCACATATGCATACATTATAGCAATTTTAGGGCGTATATTCTGGCATTTTCTATAAAATCATTTTGTTGTTTCATTTGGCACATCTGGAAAACACTTTCCAGGGCCAAATGTGTGTGTGGGCTGAATGATGTAGTCTAGTATCGTTTAGATAGAAAGTAATACCTACAAAATATAGCAAAATCCGGCAAACAAACATAAACTGCGCCTGTGATGTGATTCATATTTGGTTTGCCCTAGAAAATTCCGTTCTTAACTAAGTTGTTATAGAATATTCCACAGGTCATCGTCATAGGCGTCAGTGTCTCCCACGACAAGAAATCTTTGGAATATTCGCACAAAACCGATACATGCTTATAAGTGCGGTATACAAGCTCTGTGTTCTCTATACAGAATGTATGACGCTCGCCTAAAATTAGATGAGAAATACATTTTCATATTTTTAGCACAGACTGTAAACAGACTGGTGAGGGTATAAAACCGAGTGATTTTTGGGAGAGCTCCATCAAAAGTGCTTTAGCGGCGAATCAAGAAAGATCGGGAATACGAAATATATAAAAGAATCAAAGGTACAAATCGGAGGATATATAGAGGACTATTTGCGCCATTAGCTCACCGTTCGTATCGTTTCTCCATCTCCATCAACGTAGATGTCCGTTGTGCCCCTAATGTTCCGCGACTGGTGGGATGAGATTGACTTTCCGATGCGCACATCGCGCCTCTTGGACCAGCATTTCGGCCAGGGGATGAAGCGCGACGATCTGATGTCGTCGGTGTGGAACTCCCGGCCCACAGTTCTGCGCTCGGGCTACCTGCGTCCCTGGCAGAAGAACAGCCTGCAGAAGCAGGAGTCCGGCTCCACGCTCAACATCGACAACGAGAAGTTTGAGGTTATTCTGGATGTGCAGCAGTTCTCCCCCAACGAGATCACCGTTAAGATCGCCGACAAGTTCGTCATCGTCGAGGGCAAGCACGAGGAGAAGCAGGACGAGCATGGCTATGTGTCTCGTCAGTTTTCCAGACGCTACCAGCTGCCCAGTGAGTTCGAAGCTCTTCTCTCTTTAGAATCTTCCAGTTCTAACCAGAATCCCTTTCCTTCCCTTACCTTCCATTGTAGGTGATGTCAATCCAGACAATGTTACCTCCTCCCTCTCCTCGGACGGTCTACTGACCATCACTGCCCCCATGAAGAAGCTGCCCCCACCATCGACCGAACGCGTCGTGCAAATCACACAGACTGGTCCATCCTCCAAGGAGGACAATGCCAAGAAGGTGGAAACAACAACGACCTAGGCCCCTTAGTTGAGTTTTTTATACCAAACCGAGAGTTACAATAGTTAGTAGGTATATATCTATGTATTTGTCCCTATGATATTGGGCTTTTATTAAAACAATTACCAATTAAAACGAATGCAAATTTTTAAATTGTAATTGGTCGAAAATTAGGTACCCTATACATACTATAATCTGATTATTTTCACGCAAAACTACAAATGAGAAAGTGTTTTCTACCTCGTATCATCTGCTAAGATTTCATTGGCCCATATATTTATTTACGGATCATTTAGTAGCAGAAGCTCATCCAGAGTTACGGCCTTCTCCTCCAGACACCGCTGTATGTAGTGGTTCGCCTTCTCTATCTGCTCGCCGGACAGCTCATCTTTGTATCCGTTCACCTTGCCACGACGAACGAAACTGCAAGATCGTTTGCTACATCAAATGTCCAACAAATAAATAAGATTCTTTTACTTACTTGTGCTTTTCCTTGCCGGCATCTTTGTGATTCACTTGCGATATCTCCCACAGATGATTCGTTGTTGGATTTTCTGTACTCAAAAAAATACCAAAAAATAGATGAACTTAATTTAAGTGACATACTCACTTTTCATCTCCTCAAAAGATAGATGCTTTAGCAGTTGATCCATTGGCTGATCCACTATGGGTTTGTTCAGAAAGCGACACAGATCCTCGACCACAGCTCGGAGATCCTTCTTCATGCGCTCGAAGCTCGTGTAGTACAGCCAGGGCTCATGCCGCAGCTGATAGAACTCGTGGGCGTGTTCGATGGCATTTCTGAATGTGGCATCTGTGTCAAGATTCTCTTCGATAAACTGTGCCAAGGTCTTGCCGTAGTTGTGGCCATAGGTCACGCCATGATAGTACCGAGAGACCAAGGCATCAAGGGGATTCCGAAACACGTACACCACTTTGTGCCGCTTCTGCCACAACTGGGCAGGCAGCAGGGGCAGCGGCAGATGGGACTTGATGACCCGCGGCGAGTCAACATCTTGGACAGCAAAGACCTTACTATCATCCCCGTGTGCGTTGAAATTAAACCTAGAAATGAATTTGTTTACCATCCATCTTTTTGTTGGCACGAGTATTTCTAAACTTCTTCTTACTCGACGAATGGACTGCGCAGTTCCAGGTCTTTGGCCAGAGCCGCCTCGAAGTTGCAGTCGTTGATCAGCAGCCAGACCAACTCCTGCATCCAAGTGGTGCCACATTTTGGCAGCGTCACCACCCACACGTCATCGTCTCGCACCTCCAGATCGTGAACGGCATCGAGAAAACGCTGAGAGTTGCTTTTGAAGAACAGTTCACGCTTAGACCAGTCTTTGTCGATGAGGCCGGTCGGATAACTCTTAGGCGTGACCCGTTCACGTTCCATGGCGGCGGCTTACTGAGTTTTCAAAACGAACGAGGGGAACGTTGTGAGTTGCTGCGGACACCGCAACTCTACGGTTATACCCGATACTAAGTCAGTATGGCTCTCCTCCGGCAGACGCCGCTAATATTTAACGACACGACAAAGAGTGCGTGCGAGAGAGACAGAAAATCAGTCTGAGCGTGACGTCGGGCGCTGCGTAGCCACTGCAAATTGATTTGTTCCTTTTGGCTATAAAAATGATCTGATCTGATCCAGATTCAGCAATCTAATAGATATGGTCATTATCTATGATTCTGCGTTTTTAGTTTTCTCAAATCTGCAATATTGTGGATGCAACAGATTTTCGTCCTTTGTGGGGGCGGATGGGGGTCGGGCGAAATTCTGAGATATACGTTTTATAGTGACATCTTAAAGGAGTGTGTGCACCAAATTTGGTTACTCTAGCCTTAATAGTCTCTGAGATTTGTGGTTGCCTCAGATTTTCGTCCTTTGCGGGGCGGAAGGGGGTGTGGCGAAATTTGGACAGGAAACGGTCAAGGTCCGATATCACAGGAGTGTGGATACCAAATTTGGTTGCTCTGGCTTTTATAGGTTCTGAAATCCTTGAACTCATATTTTGCAATTGGCAAAACCGACCATGAAACCTGTGTGTTAGAGTGAGACAGAGCGAGAAAGAGTGAAATTGTTTTCGTGATTCTGGCTGTAATAATTATACGATCTGGTTCAGATTTTGCACTCTAGAAGATATAGTCATCTTCTACGATTCTGCGTTTTTAGTTTTCTCGTATCGTCGAAATTGTGGATGCCACAGATTTTCGCCCTTTGTGGGGGCGGAAGTGGGCGGGGCAAAGTTTTGAAATATTTTTGGAGCAGTGACATATCACAGAAGTCTGGATCCAAAACATCGTTGCTCTAGCTCTTATAGTCTTTGAGCATTAGGCGCTGAAGGGGACGGACAGACGGACAGACGGACGGACGGACAGACAGACAGGGCTCAATCGACTCGGCTATTGATGCTGATCAAGAATATATATACTTTATAGGGTCGGAAACGATTCCTTCTGGACGTTACACACATCCACTTTTACCACAAATCTAATATACCCTAATACTCATTTTGAGTATCGGGTATAAAAACGTACGTGTGTATCTACTCGTATAATAGAGCTACAACTGAGGGAAAGTTTACGCTCTTTGGGAGCTCGTTCTCTCTGGTTGAACACTAATTCAGCGGCTGATAAGGTTGTTATTGCTGCTGATGTTTATTGCAATGTAATTGGAGTAACCCATGATACGCTCCTCTCTCTTCAGCAGATAGCAGATAGTGGGCGATAGAGAGTGTCAATCAAGGGACTGGGGCCTCCATTCGGGGGCTGATTAAGGGCCTTTTATAAACAAGAATATGTAAACACTTTACTTCTAGTTGCAGAAGCCCGATACATACCATATACATAGACACACTTACATAGACAGAGGGTATGCCATCATTTATAAAACATATATCACCACAGCTTACAGACTATTACACAATGTTATACAATATACGAGTATGTACATTATAGCGAAACGATTAACTAGACGATTACTTGCTGTAGTTTGCAAAGTCATCCATGTTCAATTTGTAGTCGCGCAGATTGATGTCCGACCAGAGATCGAACTCCCGTATGATGTCAGCGGTGAGCTCATCCTTGTGGCTGCCAACGACACCGCGACGAACGAATCTGTGAGAAGAAGAACAGCTGGTAAGGATCTTTGCGGATAACTCTCGGTAAGCAATGAAAAATCTCACCTGAATTCCTCCACCTCACGGCCGGCGGCCGCCTTCATGCTCTCAAACTCCTTCACATGATTGCAGGCGGGATTGTCGCGCATACTTTCGAAGGACAAGTGCTGTGTCATCTGCTCCACCTGTTCCCCGGTGATCGGTCGTTGCAGGAACGCTGCCACATCTCGGATGACGTCGCCCAACTGGGCCTTCATGCGCTCGTAGCTGGTGAAGAAGATGTGCGGCTCATGGCGTAGCTGCCAAAAGTCGAGGACATGGGGCCAACAGGGCGTGAAGTTCACATAGCCGTCGATGAAGGAGTGCATAAAGTCCGACTTGGTGCCCTGGTAGCCGACCATGCCGCGCCAGTGATGGAAGTACGAGATGGCCGCATCCTTGGGATTGCGGTAGACATAGATGATCTTAGGCTTTTTCGTCCAGATCTGGCGAGGCAGCAGCCAGGCCGGCAGGTGGGACTTGATTAGACGCGGCGATGGCATGGCATTGGCTGCCTCCATCGTGTCGTGGGGGACATTGGGCACAACCCCATTGAACCTTAAAGAGGAAGGAAAATACAAATAGGGATTAGTTCCCAGGAGCTCCATTCCAATGCTTTGCACAACTCACTCCAGGAAGGGCGATCGAAGGGTCAGATCCACGCTCTTGGCCGTCTCGAAGTCGCACTGGTTCATCACCAGCCAGGTGAGCTCCTGCATCCAGGTGGTGCCGCATTTGGGCAGCGTCACAATCCACACATCGTCCTCACGTACCTCGAACTCATGGACACGATCGAGCACGGGCTGAAAGGTGTCAGCCAGGCGGCAGAAGCGATGCTCCCACTGGCCCACCACTGGGACTGCCGGCTCTTGGGTGGAAAAGATCGAGGAGTAGCCGCCACTGATGGCCAGCTTGTCGATCTGCTCGAAGGGCACGCTCTTGGCAAAGAAGCTCGACTGCGGCATGGCGATAGTCCCGTATACGGCTTAAACGATCGATCGAACTGAACGTCTCGGCAGTTGGGGCCGTATTAAACGCAGCTTGAGAAATCAAAAGCGATCGGAGCAGAATTTCTCGCCCCTGTGTAGGTTGATGATGGGCGCGTGACACGATCGTGAGTGCGAAAAGACATATAAGAACTTGCACGATCTTGAGATCAAACTGAACTTCTTCAATTGTGGGGGTCGGTGTGCGCCATAAGAACTGATTAGTTTTATGATCATTAGTAAATTAAATATGATTGACGGAGTTGCTCAGCATCAAATGATCCACTGATCCCTGGATCACGCTACCATCTCGAATTTACTCATGAGATTATGCAATTAGCCCCTCGCTCCGTTGACACACAATACAATACTAGTATCCACATCCACACGCGTAACCGGACTCGTTTCTTACCGAATCGCGCCTCGATTTTCGAGTTGCATGAAGCGATCGTGCTGTAAACCTGGCCCGGAACGAGAGACTTTCTTTGTTCGGGACACCTTTCTGTTTAGCCGAAGAAAGTTTTTGGCTTTGTTTACCTTTCGATTGACGCTTTGGCAAGTGAAATTATGCCCCCTTTTTTGGCACCCATCAAATTGGAAGAATACCTTGCTTCGGTCGGGCAAAACAGGTTGTTTGAATGCATGGTGGGGGTCGGCCATACGCCATAAGAGTCGATCATGCTTACGATTATTATTGAATGAAATATGAATGAGCCAGACGCTAGCATTCATTATATAATTTATTGATAGAATATCCCACCGTACAATGGCCTGAGGCGCATTCCAAACTGGTTCCAACCTTGACCCGAAATTTCCCTTTCGCAGTTTTTTTTAGATTATCTTTTTTTTTAATTTTTATTCGTATTATTTGCATTTTGTTTTTGTTTTTCATTTTGTTTTGGTTGTTGTTTGTTTTCATTTGTAATTGTTTTTTACAATAAATTTGACTAAATCTTAACATTTATAATCCTTAACCTGCAAGGAGCAAACAGATGTAGTAACAAATATACATTGTTGTATGTATGTATGTAAAGATTTATCATATGTATGTGTGTTCAGAAACATATAGTATCGTATCTATATATAATATTTAATATAACACATGAATTGTTTAGCGTTTTATCGTATTATATATTGTATGTATGTCTATGCGCAATTTTTGCGAATTATTTTTCTTGGTTTCCACTATTTTGTATTTTTCATTTCAGTATATTCTGGTTGTAATTTATTTTATTTACGCCAATACAACATACAATTAAACACACATATTAACAACATTAAATATGCATATATATATTCCCTTATCGCTCAGTATTATGTACGTTTATATGTGTGATCTGTTCCAGTAGAAAGGTGGGAGGAAACGAAAGCAAGAACAACTCCAGGCGACTCATTCAGTTGGGTCTTTGCTTTTTTATGATACTCTAGGGTCGGGCAGGTCTAGGGGTTCTCTAGGGGATTGGGGATAATTTTACTACACAGTTCTTTCTTTCCTCTGGTGGGAGGAGGTCGTTCGGGTGACTTGTATACATGTATATAATTTCTATCAAAACATCGTGAAGCACAGGATAAAACACTTTTGTAACACATACAAATAACTGTAATTGTGTGAATGAATGCCGATAGGACATATAAATATATATGTATATGTATATTATTTTTAATATGCTTCGTAAAATTTGTATAAATTGTATATATGTATATATTGTATATATTATTTTGCTTTTCAATTTCATTTCCGTTTTTGTTTCTTTTGTTTTTTAACAAGAACATATTATCGACTCGTATTAGATATACAGTTATGTATGTATATGTATATATATGTATATATGTAATTTGTTCAGTCAATTAGATAAAAAGATTTCAAAAAGGATTCCACTTAATTGTAAAACATTTTGGGCTTAGAAAGCTAAACAACATTAATAATATTAGTTAGGAAAGTTTCTCTCGTTCCTCGATCTCCTTTTTTTTGTGTGTTTACTTAGTTAAGAAAGTAGGTAACTAGTTAATTAGTAGGTAGTAAAAGGGGCCCCATACAATTTCATATGTCTCAAGTGTGGATTCGAATTGGTTTTCATCAGTTTTTTTGTTTCTTTTTTTATAGTTATACCATTTTATATAGCATAGTAGTATATTTAGTAGTCCCTCCATTGCCATTTTCAACTCCGTTCTGGGTTTCGTTTATTTTTCTGATCTGGACAACGATTAAGTTATTTAGACACAATTTTGAGTGCATAACTTAACGTAGATTGTCTTCTAGATGGGAAAGAAATATGTTTAGCGCTCACTGTGCGCTCGCTAAAAATTGTTTCTGATTGCGCGGCACCGACTAATACCGATTCCGCTAAGATGCTATTGTGCTATACTGTTATACCGTTTTACCGTTTAAAGGTACTTTTTGAGCGCACGCCACGCCCTATTGTTCCTCCGTTGTTGATCCAATTTCTGTGGATTTTTGTTTGTTTGGTGGTTTTTTTTCATTTTCATTTTTATTTTTGTTTTTTGCGTTTTCCTTTTTTGTTTCTTTACCCTAAGCACATACACATATACAGTGGTACGGGGGACATACACGCACACACATACAGACTCACATTTACATAGGTTTGATATACATTTACGATTCTGTATTGATTTCGCTTTTGTGATGCTTCTTAAACATTAAATTTTGAGTCCAGCCCAATAATTGTTTAAACTTGCTTTAGTTAGGTTAGGTATTTGTTTCTGTTTTCTGCTTTGCGACACCGCTTGGCACCACTTTGTGTGTTGTTGACTGCGTGGCAGCACTGGAGCACTGCCCCTTCCTCTGTACCCATACGACGCCTTCCTGTTAATCCGAGATATGTATGACAGATGGAGCGGAAATGGATCTGGACATGTATCTGGATCCAGGTGTGTGGAGGGGCAACAGCAACAATGAGAGGATTATGCAGAGTAACTGCGCCGCCAGGTGGGGCCACGGGCGGAACGCCTGCGCCGTCACTAGAGCGCATCCTCCAGTTCATTCTCGCCAATTGTGGATGTGCCCGGCGCCTGGGCCGGCAGTGGCTTCAGTAGACCCGAGAATAATCTCCGGAAGGCCGTATGCTATTTGGAATTAGCCAGCTTTACCATCGGCGGCTGCATGGCCATAACATCGGCCAATGTGTTCACGCCCTGCTCGTCGTACTTCTTCCACTGTGAGTAGTTGATCTGCATGTAGGTGATGAGCTGGGGCATGTCAATGAAGCCTGTTGAAGATACGAGAGAGCGAGAGAGATCATTCAACAAGTTGCCGCAGGCACAGGATAAATCCAATACATACTCTCCCAGGCATGCATCATGTCCTGTATGATGTATTCGATGAAACCGATCTGGCTCTTTGGTATGCTGCATGTGGCCCGATCGAACATGGGCATAACGATGGGCAAATGCCGCTGCTTCTCCTCGTCCGTCTGCATGAAGTACTCCTCGGCAATGCGCCGCGCCCACTCGATGCAGAACTGCATGGGCCGGGCCGGGTTGCTCACATCGGCCACCTTGATGAGCATGCGGCGCATGAGTATAGCTGTCTCCTCATCCGACTGTGGGTTATGCTAAGAGATACGATGGATTCCATTTTGTACATACATTCCATACATATACTAAGGGGGGATTCACTTACTTCGCGCGGCTCCTCGCCCCCAAAGACGCTCACAAACTTGGCCAAGTGCTCAAAGTGTCGCGTCATCTCGGTGGCCAATATCATGTCAATAATGGTGCTGCGCGCCGATTTGTATGTTTCCTTGTCCAGGTTCTTAAATATGTTGATCTTATCGTCGCCTGCAGGAAAGAGATTCTTAGAGATACCTTCCATCCCATAACGTGTATGGAGGTTTTGGTTTCGGTATTCCTTACCTAAAGTTAGCTTGAAAGTGATGGCGGCATGATGGTTCTCCAGCACCGTAAGATCATTGTACAGTATGGCCAGAGCGCTGTTTGAGTTACACAGAAAGGCCGAGGAGCGACCAGGATGATCGATATCGTGGGCAGCAGCCGCAATCAGAGCCATGGCCTCCTCCATGCGATCCATGACCATCATGTCCTTGTTGGTCAGCTGCGTGATAAACGCCCCAGTGGCCTGCAGATAAACGATACAGTATTGATAGCATAAACATAGATAAGTGGTAATTGGAGGGAAGGGGCCAGATGGCCAGAAGGCCAGACAGACACGCACCTGCATGACATCGGCGGCATGTGTGCTATTGTGATAGGTGTTCGATTTGTGGTAGTGGGCCTCTATGACTGCCAGCCAGGCCTTGCACACATTTTCCTCAATGTTCAGAGTGGCGAAGACGTCGAAACGGCGGAACATTTCCATACCCAGGTAGAGCAGCGGATGGTAGTCGGTGATCTCTTCCAATTTGAAAATATCAAAGTCCCAGCTGAGAGATTCTTCAAGTAGTTCCATTATTATGGGATTGGCCTGGAAGAGGGTGGGTGGTGGTTGGATTACTAAATGATTCACATATGTACATATATGTATTTATTCCCAAGCTTTTTTCCGACTTACCTTCATCTTGGCGGGCACGATGGTGGCAGTTCGGGTAGAACTGCCTGTGCGTATGATGGAGTCATTCGAGCTTCGCCGCGAGGAGTAAACGCTCGGTCCCTGAAGATCGGAAGAGATTATCACGAGATCTATTTAATTTTATTTGAACATTTGCACTTACCGTTAATAGGGCACCAATTAGATCGGTGGCTATGGGATCATCTGTTCGTATCTCCTTCATTTGTGGACTGTAGAGTCCCTCGCGCTTCAGGAACTCCAAGACCTTGTCTATGAGCCGCGCCTCGTCGGCCGAACAATTCTCCTGTACTTGTGATAGTAAATTAATTATCTAAAGTGCGAGTGAGTGCGCAGTTGGTTTCGTTTTTTTTTTTTGGTTTGAATTTGTTTTTTGTTGTGTTGGTTTTGAGTTTCATTTTTTTTTTATTATTATTATTGTTTTTTTTTGTTTTGGTTAGCGACGCGCAGCGAGCAAATCGAGCGAGCGAGCGAACGTGCGAACGAACAGTTTGTACATTATTTTTTTTAATATTTGTATTTATGAGTTGGTTCATTGTTCGAGTACACAAAACATAAAAGTAAAAAAGAGAACATAACAAATAAGAGATAAAAAGAGAATATATGTAAAAAATGTTGTTTTAGATGTGCAATTAAGGTTGTTTTGGTTGCGGTTTGGCGTTGATTTTTGGGATTAGTAGGCGGAAAATTTTGATGACAAATTAGGGAGCTTCAGAGAGATGAAACATGGAAACACGGTGCCCGCAAATGCATTTGCAGTAAAATCTTATGCGCTCTTACTCTCTCACTGTCGCAGCGGTAGCAAAAAGCTAATCAAAGAGAGCCGAAAAGTAACTGCTTATCTCAAAGTGTATCAAAAAAGGTGAGGCCTCACCAAAGAGCGTTCTCACGGCAGCTAATTTGCTTTCATTCGCTTTGACAACTGCTGTCGCGAGAGCGGGGCCCGTCACCTTGTAGTAATTTACTTTCAACTTTGCTTTGAAAGAGAGTGAGTGCCACTCTCATCTCGAAGGCGAATTTTCGAACATGACGTCAGTGACGTCGAGCTCGCATAATTAGAGAAAAGCATAGCAGCACAATGCTGCTGACGCTGCAGCGCCAGGGGCAGGGGCAGCGGCAGGGCAGGAAGTGAATAGAGGAAGATAATGGAATGTTTTGCTTCCTCGCTGACTATATTACCGTAAATTGATTGAGTGATTCGATAATTAAGAGCAGAGTGAGTGCAAACATTTGTGGACAGAGCACAAACGAATTACTCCTGAAAATGCATTTAGGGGCGGTTCTCTGGTGGCTCTGATCGCCGGTGTGCCTGTGTTTGTGTGTAGATGGCAGGCACGGGTGGGTGGGTGGTGCGGCATGTGTGTGGTTTGTATTCTTGTGCAAATATTGTTGCTAATGCTATTGCTTTTGCTGCTGCTGCTGCGCCACAGGGCATGACAGGACACTACGACACCAGGACACCACACAAACCAGACACACACACACGCATACACACATACACACGCACACGGATACAAGCACGGACGACATTTTGGGGTCATTCCAATAGGCACAAGAAGCATTTCCGTGTTTTAGCCATAAACCAATTCAAATCCCAGAAAGCGCACAAAGCGGAGTCATACTTTAGTGATTGGGGCCTCCAGCGGCAGGGATGTGAGCTTGGCCAGGCTGGTCCTCCGCAATCCGTCCGAGGCAATGGACCGCACATCGAAGCTGCAGCGCCGCACCGAGTGTAGGGAGCCGCGCGGCGCCTCCTTTGGCTGCGGCAGGGTGGCTATGAAGTCCATCTGTCCGCCGGGCACATCAAAGTTGAAAATCAAGTGAGTGGGCGCACTGCAACGGAAAGAAAAAGGTCCCCAACGCAAGCGACAGATTGCCAATTAATGCTCTGAGTGGAGAAGGGACCGACCATCGAACTCACCTCCCGATGCAGGCCACTGGGACGACGCGAACATGCATGGGGATGCCCTCCTGGTTCTTGCGTCGCACTGTCAGTATCCCATCGAACTCTTTGATGCTCTTGCCCTGCTCGCTGATGGTGGACAGGTCGGACACGAAAATGTCCGCCAGTGGCTTGCTAATGATTTCATCCTGTTTGTTAAACAAGCAAATCCCATTAATGCTTCAATTGCACCTAGTGCACACAGTGCACAAAACTACAGGAGGGGCGGCAGCGGCGGCGCTGGCACCTAAAACCCATCCACTCACCAGCCGCATGTTGAGGAGACGTTCCGTGGCACGGTTCGCGTACTGTATTCGCAGCACGTCGTCCGTGATAAGGACCACCTCCTTCAGCCGATGCAGTGCCGTGTAGAGTGCCTGTGGGAGATACAAAGGACAGTTTTAGCGGGCCAATGGAGAGCAGATACAGGACGATACGACTATGGGCTACCCGGGATATTTCTGTGTTTGTTTCCACTTAGTACTATTTCTGAACTATTCTGATTCTTATTTTGATCTAATTAAGATTATATTTTGTCGTTTGATCAGAGTCTTATTAACATACAACCATTGAACAGTAGTTCCATAAATTTAAAACTATTATCGATTACCAAAAACGGAGGACGTCATGCTTTATTTTCCCAATAAAACTTTATCTTCGTTTGTTTCTAGTATGTATAATCAGATATCCACAAGGTTTATGCGAGCCAGAGAAGCACAATATACTGTAGTTTGCACTATACTCTAATCTACTCTACGATTACAGGGTATATATGGTACATATTACATTGAGGACGGGAAGGCAAGTGAAGGAAGGGCGCTCTGCGTTGAGCTTGTGGTTTACAATTTCACTTGGACCATTTAATTGAATTAATTTGTGAACGAGACAGAGCGAGCGCATTCCCTGTCAAGCAACCCCAAGGAGAAGGACATTAACTTGATTACCTGTTGAGTGGACATGACATTGTGGGGCCGTATGATCGAGTGCAGTATTTGCTTCAGCTCCACACTGCACATGGCCAGGTTTGTCGTCTCGGCTACGCACTGTGGAATAATAGACCCCGATGAGCATCTGGTATATAGTATGTTTCTCGTTTTGGCCTCTTTTTAAGCTGCCGATGGGCCAATTAACAGGAAACTTACTCTATTAACGCCAGCGTCCAATAGAGCAATTAGCACATCATCCTTTTCGAAGAAACTGCAAAGAGTCGTTCGTTATTTAAGGCTCCAGCAGACGAAGTTGATTGAGTAACTGCCAGGGCATGGCTAGGCGTGTTCTTGCCACTTACCTCTTCTTGCAGACGGCAATTATTGTCGTTAAATGGTGTCCATGTGTATGACGTATTGTTCTGATGAGGAGAGAGAGAGAGAGAGAAGCAAGTTTTATAGCAAAGTGTAAAGTTTATCAAAATGAAAAAGTTGGGAAAACTTTTCGACCAAACTTATATAAACTTGAGCAGCCCCTAAGACGAGAGAGAGACCCAACTCATGTAGATATATTTTTGGTTGCCGAACCGAACCCGAACCGCATATCTTACCTTGCAATATGCTCGGCATCTAGATTTTTCGAGGAGCGCGCATCAATTATGATTAGATGGTAGCATTGGGCGGTGGCATACGACTTCTGGAGCGTGTCCAGGGCCTCCTCCTTCGACTTGACCAGCGTTACGTCCAGCTGGTGGCGCTGGCAGGCGGAGGCGACCGCCTCACAGATGCTATCCGATTTGTGGAAAACTAAAAGAGCCTGGAAAACGGAAACGGAGATGGAAATAGAAGATGGAGATGGACGGGACGGGACGGGACGGGACAGCCATTGCATTGATTGAATGGGGCAGGTCTGGCTGGAGTAGAGCTTACGCTTACCTTAAGTTGAGGATTCGGTGGTAGCACGGTTGGATATTTCAAGTCCATGAGATTTCGCTGCAAAGAGAAGTAGAAATGTCAGTGAGCGAGAGAGAGAGAAAGAGAGAGAGAGAGGGAGACAGTTGAGTGGCGGGAGGACAGGTGAAACAACGTGTAAAATTAAATAAAAATCTACAGCTTCTCTGGATTTTCCATCAAAATAAGAGGGCTTAACCTGGCTTCGCTTCATACCCCCACTGCCTGTCCGTGCCTGTCCGTTTGTCCGCCACACCGTCATGTTGTATATCTGTATCTGGATCTGTGTGTGTGTGTGTGCTCTGTGTATCTGGCAGATACGCGTACAATGCGTGTGTGACGCTCGTGTCGCTTAAATGATGATAAATTAAAATAAAATCGCTGGCTCTGACTTCAAACTCTGTGACTGGCTGTACAGATGTCTGCTTTGTGCTGCTTTTTAATACGATATGCGAAAGGCAGGGATTTGCCGAGAGACAGACGCGGGATGAGCTCCATGTCAGTTACGGGAATGAAAATGTACAAGCAATATTTCCCAGAAATTTCCCGCAACTTCAAACGGATAGGATTGGGGTTTCTGTTACATCTCTTTTCTTGCACCTGTAAACTACCTGAAAAACTTTGTACTCATCATCATCATCTTCGGGTTGCTGTTGCGGCTGCGGCTGCGGCTTTTTTCCTGCTACCATCAGATGGAGCTTCGGCATCTTGGGCATACGCCGCTCGTAGAGGCTGCAGGATTTGCGCTCCAGGCCGGCGACCTTGCGCCGCAGTACCACAGCATCTTCATGACACTGGGAGTCCGACTCAGAGTCCCCGTCCTCCATTGCGAGATTGTTGAAAAAGAGCCCCTGGACGTCTAAATTGCGTATGGCCTCGACTATTTCCGGCTGCAGCGACGCACTGCGTCCCCCGTTCTGGGCCATACTGTGCGGCCTCGTGCCGGTGGTGTTGGTGTTTCGGCGCAGGGGTGTCACAATGTCTCCGCCTTCGGCCTTCACATTCGCCTCATATTCCAGTTCCATTTCCTCGGGCGTTTTGCTCGAACCGAGCCCCGCAAATGGCAACGAAATGGAATTACGCCCGGGAATTGGTACAGAAAGCCGCGCTGGACCGGGAGTAGGACCGGAAGTAGGACCGGGAGCCTGCCCCGAAATCGCTTCCACTCTCATTTCCGTGAAGGAGCTTTCGTCCATCGTACGGATGCGGACATTTGGCGCCACTGCCACTGTCTCCAAGTGCGAGCCACTTATCAGCCGGCTATAGCTGCTATCGCCATCCGTGTGCGGTGGTCTCTTATTATTATTATCGTGCGGCTGATCGGACTGTGGCGACGGAATGGCTAAAGCCCCGCCAGACATGGCCACCGCAGTGTACTGCTCCGAGTCGCTGTCGGAGAGGCAATCATTCGAATGATTTGCACGGTTGCCAGTTGCCGACGATTTCGCGGAGGATTTGCGGCGAAAGACATTCGTGAGTTTTGGCAAGCAATTGCGCATTTCAGCTAATTATAAAACTGCACTCAGACGACACTCGGACGACACTCGGACGACACTCGGAGTCACTCACTCAGTAACTCACTCACTGTGCCGCAATCGGAATCGCAATGGCAATAACTATGACAATATAACAATGACAATTACGCTAAGCACTTGAGCGGTCCAATGTCTTAGATCAATAACAAGTTGTTTGCATAAGCCTCAACAGACACAGACGCGATCCAGGCCCTGGCATTTTCCATGCGACAATCTCGATCGTATCTGTATTTCTTTCTCTATCTCCGTCTCTATCTCTATCCGTGATGGTATCTGTGTATATTTGTATCCAAATCTCAATCAATTCTAGGTGGCACGTAGTAATTCACAGTTTTTTGATTTGTGGTCGAAACGCGACTCGGCGACGCTCAAACATCCAACTGAAAACGTCGATCGACAGCGACGGGGTATAATCTTTTTTTCTTTCTTTGCTTTTTGATTTCCCACCTTCAATGTTAATTGATTTGATTTCTCTGGTAGCCTATTGTTTATAAGCAAAACACACACACACACACACACATTCCGGCATGCATATCACAGTGCTCTGGTATGGGTGAGCGGCTATTTAAAGCGGAATGTAGAGCGAAAAGCGCAACACTTTGCCATGCTCTCCGCTCTGTATTGCTCTCTGCTGCCATAAACCGAGTTCTGATAAGATAAGATCTTATCAAAAGACGTAACAGCCATGCGGTCCCCAACTTACCGTGCCTAGCCACCTCTCTTTGGATCCAGTGGATCCTTATGTGGACATGGACACTCACCTGATACACATCCATTGGGTCATCCTCGGGGGTGAGGGCGAGGGCGAGCGATGACTTTCGATGACCTGGCCGATTGTTACCGCCGCCACCGGATGAACTGGTGCCCGATGTGCCAGTGCCGGTGCCTGTAGGGTATAACAAAAAGAGTTTAAGATGATAGCTATAGACATGCGACGCTGAGAAGTATGCTACATTTCGGGGCGTTTTTCTGACAGGGAAAGTGCTGCATACTTTTGGGCTGCCCGCACGCACACAATCAAGATGAATGGACACCACACAAATTCCCACACACAGGCAGAGCAGGACAGCAGGACAGGGGGACAGTGACAAGCACACGCACGCCCATTAATTTCTCTTGTTGCACGTTTTATTTAATTATAAGCGTTGGCATTTCAAAAACACTTTATAAACCGAAGGAAGGCCCACTTTCTCACACACATACAACACACATGCACAAAAAGGCTCACTACATAGCCACACGTACGGGCACGGGCATGGGCACGGCCAGATCTGAGGCCCCAAAGGGTACTGGATCCTTGGGGTCAGGGCAGGTTTCTATCTCTGTCACTGACGGCAGCTCGAGAGAAGTGCCAGAAACCCGAGTGGGAACTAAGCCGCACAAATTGTATTTCATTTAATGAGAAACCCAAGAAGAGATTGGGACTGAAGGGGAACTTCAAGCTCAGTCGAAGCTCAGAGTATCCTTGCGTGGAATATGATTTACCAGGGAAAGTTTCACTTATGTCTATACAATATTCATCAAGTCAATTTATCATGTTCGTTATTACTTATAGGAATCAAGAGGTAAATGCAAATTGAAAACATTTCTGTTCAACTGTCAGACGGAAGACTAAAAGATAACTCAGTCAATAAAAACTAAGGATATCTTTTGGGGAATCTTTGGGGCTCCTTGACCAAACTCTCTTCTTCGATTCGACCATCGTTCGTATGCGGACAAGCCGCACCTCCAGACAGACAACTACTTTATTGTGGGATTTCCCATTCAAGCTATAATGCCCCAGAAATCGTGTAAATATATTAAGAAATCATATAAGGGAACACATTCCAGCAGGGAGTTCTTAAACGCTCCTCCTGTTGAGCATCAGCATTCCTTAAGCTAAAAGGAAATTAAAATTCTGCGGTTCCTGGGAACTTTCATAAACAATGTTTTGGCCCCAAAAAGGTTCGCCGAAAATTGAAGGGAATGTTTTTAACTGAAGAATGAAATGAAATGCTAATTATATCAAATTTTACAGTTTCGGATAACTTTTCTAATATATTTACGTGTACTCGAGTAAAGCTTTATGCTAGTGCAGAATTTCGGTTGAGAATATTTCTGGGAATTTGCTAAAACAATTTACGCAGCACTTGATGGGATGCACAAATTTCGCTCGTAATATTTAATTGCCGAAAACCAACTATGTGAAGCAGAAATTTAGCACAACTTTTCAGGGTTATGCTGGGAAAACAGACAACTAAAATCCAACCCACACACGGCAATACTACAGAGATCCCCCTGGCCCGGGCACACGCTTGTTAACCGCATCATCAACCTCAACTTTAACCCCTGAAGAGAGAGAGATAGAGAGGGCAGGGGCCCAACCGTAGAACCGTAGAAGAACCTTACCCACAGCCAGCTCGGACTCGGAGGCCGGACGCGTTAATGAATCTCTGCTGCCTTCTGCTGTTGCTGTTGTTGTTGTTGCCTCCATGGCTGGCGTTTGTCTGGCCCCCACGCCCACTGGCCCATCCATACCCACCTTCACATGCACACCCACACCCGCTTGCCCCACACAATTGCAACCGCTTGGGGCACTGGCACTCTCAACACTTTCTTCACTCGTGTGTGCGCCACTGACCGAGGCGGGTACGAGTACTGGTACTGGTACTGGGGAGGTGGCAGTGGTTGTAGGCGTGCTTCCAGCCAAGTTTGGCTGACTCGAAATTATCATTGTTTATGCGGTTCTATTCCCTTTCTTTCCCGACTCGCCTTTCCCGACGCTCGACGGGCGGGTTGAATGGTTATTTGGGTGGTTTTTGTTTTTGTTTTTTTGTGGGTAGTTTGCAAATGAACCAACACACAAATTTTGATTATTTTCGTGGCATTATGTTAATTGTCATCTATGTGCACTAGTATTGTTTTGTATGTTGTTTGGTTGCCGCTTTATCCGTTCGTTTATCTGTCTGTGTGGCATTGATTTCGCACAATTAGTGCGTAATGATAAACTGCTCCACATGCATGCGAGAACTCCTGCCCGAAAGATATGTATTTTTCATACTATATGAGAATATATACAATATTTACATACAGCTGAATGGGGCATAAACAAAAAACTATCCAGGGGGAAAGTACCCACAAAGTTAGGGTCAAAGAGGGACCTGGGGAGAGAGAGAGAATGCTTCAGCGTCAGGCTCTGCATGTAGTCCGAGTGTGTACAGGGGCTCTACGAGATCCATATACAAAAGTCGAGTGTACGAATGTGTACGTAATACGTGTATGTACAGCACTGCCCGCGCCCCCCCGTCTAAGGGGGGACAGAATATTTGCGCTTATTCAAATGGGTCGAGTGTATCTTATCGTCTGTGTTATATTTTCGGCAGGGGTAGCCAAGGGAAGGGAACACTCCGTGAGAGAAAGAGACAGAGAGAGAGTGAGAGAGGGGGGTGGGGGGCGGTACACGCGTTGTAATCTAAACGAAAATCGATAAATTGCTTAGATAAAGGCAGGGAACAGCAGCCGCCTGCCACACAGCCTGCTGACGTCGCCAGCAACAGGCTCTAGCCGCCACTCCACTCCACTCCACTCTACTCCGCTCCAATCCTCTGCCATATCCATCCACTCCACTTTTCAAGTTTGGAAAACTATTTCGAGACACACACACACACACACACACACCAAACCACACCACACCACACCACACTGAACTGCTGCAGATACTTACTACACTGGCTCATTAGGGCACGGCAAGAACAGAAAAATTAGAGTGCAAGTTTCACAGAAGTGCTGCACTGCAAGGCCTACGAGGATAGGTTGATCGATTGGGGATATTCGCGCCACCACATCCGAATTCACACTGAAATCACATTTAAACGAAAACTGAAATGGAAACTGAGACTGAAAATCTGGGAGCCAAGTGGCCAAGAGACGCTCGGATGGGCTGGGTGGCAAAAGGCGACCCCAGACTAGAAACAACGTCCGCTCTAATCCGTTATGAAGAACTGTTTGCCAGATGATAATTCTCGCACGGATTCTGAAGCCAACAGAGCCAGTGGCAGTGGCAGCAGCCGCAGCAGCAGCGACAACGGCAGCAGAAGGTGCGCTTCAGGGTAAACTGACGGTCTGCTGGGCTGCCAGATACATTTGTATCTACGCGTACAGTGAGGCGTATCTAAGGCGCTTAGAGAAATAGAAAAACACGCAAATGGAACAGGGGGAAGGGGTGGAGGGAGGGAGCGGGCAGGTGCAATGGAATCACAAATAGCCAGAAGAAAATTAAATTTTAATACAAAGAGCGGATTATCCACCTCTCGGTGGGGCAGGGGCAGGGGCAGGGCCAGAGCCGGAAGGCAGCAGCGGCTCAGAGCCGCCAACGTTGGCCGATCATTTTTTGGTGCTTTTGGGGCCTTTTGCGCCTTGTGTCGCTGTCATGGCAACCAATTAATTTGTGATAAGATAATATCAGCCAAGTTTGCTCATAGTATTCAGATGTTTAGCCCCCGCACACCGTGTGTGAGTGTGTGTGTGTGTGTGTGTGTGTGTGGGGCAGATACTGCCACAGATACAGTTGCAGATGCAGATACAGATACAGCTCATGGAAATGGGCATGGGCATGGGTATGGGAATGGGAGAAACGCGTGCACAATCTACATCTATTCTATCTATGAGCGTGGCCTGTGTGCGCTTTATTGGATTCACATACGAGTAGCAGTCGTGGTGGCCCCAAATCGGAATCAAACTGTCCGAAGGGAGGGACAGACAGGGACTTTATCTGCCACCGCGCGATCTTCTTTGCTCAGCGATACTCGCCGTTGATAGCCGGACATGGCACACGGGACATACGGGACACTGGCCATATAACAATGGCTCCATATTGATACCAACTGTGGCCGTTTTGTGGCCGGACGACAGGGGGCTTCCCAAGCAGCCCAAGGGCGGGGGTGTTGGGTGTTCGGTGCGAGCAATATTCAGCAGTCTTCGTTTTGGCATAATCTAATCTCCAACTGGGCTGGACGGGTCGGGTCTGATGTGGTCTCTGGTCTCTGGTCTCTGGTCTCTCTGACTTGGCGCGCAATATTCATGGAAATGACTTCACGTGGTCGGCTAAACCCCGAAAAATATAAAAGATTTCTGTAAAATTCGGAGGAGAATCTGGTTCTACTAAGCGAAAATTGGTAAATTGGATGGGTCATCAATTCAATTACGATTTCTTTTGTATTTAATTGATGTGAAAACTGATAAACTGCGGAGTCCGACAGGGGGTGGGATTAGGACACATAATGAATCGTTGTCGAGCGATCGTTCGCTCGGTTTGTTTTCTTTGGCTTTGATTGATGTTTTGGCGCCATATCGTGGGCGATCGATCCATTGTTTACAGCGAGAGATGCGATATAGCAGTAGAGTGAGAGATGCCGCAGACGATCGGGGAACCAGATTTTGTCATGTGAATCTTTGCATATTAATCGAAGAATCGCAGTGTACGAGTATTGGTGTGTATGCGGATCTTCGCAGCTAATGAGCCGAAACGAAAGCGAAACAATAGCTGATGCAGAGCAAATTCAAGAATGAAAGAAGCGCAGATACAGATACGGCTGCGCTGGATACAGATGGATGGATGGACGGGTGGATGTATTGACCAGCAGACAGATACACAGATACAAATTCTAGTCGTGGATTGTGGATTGCTACTCGTTACACTTGTTCTTGTTGCTTTTGCTTTTGCTTTTGCTTTTGCTGCCTTTTTGTGGCACACTTAGTTGTGAAGTTTGTTTTGATTTTTAACACATTTTTTGATACCCTCCTGTGCCCGAGTGTGAGTGAATTTCGTATGGGGTTGTTGGTTGGTTGGTTGGTTGTTGCTGTATTTTAGAGCATGCCAAGCTGTTTTTTTCCACATCGACGTTGCTGTTTCAGTTTCTGTTTCGGGTTCTGTTTCTGTTTCTGATTCTGATTCGGTTATGGTTTCGGGTTTGTATTGTATCTGAGAAGTTGTTGCTCTATGCGTTTTTTAATTGCACTCGGTTTGGTGGGGGCTCGGGACTGGTTGGCCCTGGGCCATGCACTGGCACGACTTGCCAAATTTGTGCCACTGCATTAGGCCGCGATTGGAGCGACCAGTTCTCACCGAACTGAACTCAACTGAACTGAACAGAACCGATACGAACCGCACCGCACCGCGCACCGGTGTACATCGGAAAGGGGACCGACTGGCCACGCCCGCAAGATCAAACTCCTCTTGAAATTTGCATAGTGCGTGAGGCTTTCGAAATCCGTACACACACCTCGGTTACAGTGTATTCTACAGAGACCAGGCCGGAGGAGCATACGATGCATACGAGTATGTGTGCGTTTCGGTATACATGCGATGCAGGGGTACGTATAGTACGCGCAACCGACGCGACGAAACAGTTAAAAGCGAATGACTCCATACATGGGGAGCAGCTGTTGCCGAAGCGATGTTGGGGCGAGCTTTGCTCTCTCTTTCGCTTTATCTCGCAAACTTGGCGCTCTCTCGGCGATCACATTTGCTGAGAGCGATCAAGTTTCACACAGCCACAGGGCCAGACAGAAACTCAGAGAGTAATGCTCGTTCGCGCTCTTTGGACAATTGCTTTGCTGCCACCGAAGCTCCTATTGAAAGCCGAAGCTCAGCCCCAGACCCAGAACAGAACCCAGCCCCAGACAGGGGAGAGGGGCGGCAAGCAACTGTTAATTGGTCATCCACAAAACAGCTGCGCTTGAAGCTTAGACAAGCGCCAGCTGACTTCTCAGCGATCGTATTACCTGTGCCTGTCCTTCTGTATCACCTAACAACGAACTGCGGATACCCTGTACGACTTTTGTGCACGATTTGACTTTTATCTGGGGAGAGTTATGGCTAGCACTTGAGCTGATTGGATTAGAATGATGCTTGATGGATTCTTGAATGATTTGTGCCATAAACCACAATAAATCTTGGAGGAAATACCCGTACATATTTAAGCATTTCTGAAATACTGAGATTCCAAAGATAATTATTGTATTATCAGCTACCATTGAGGGAGCTCTTGAGGTTGGAGCACTGTCACTTCAGATTAGGAACAGGGTTCTTCAATCTGGGGGCTTATCTACGAGCATATTTGCTATTATGAAGTCTGGAAGGGCGAGTGGAAGAGCAATTGGTTCCTATAAGAACTGCCCCAAAATCAAGCGGAGAAAATGATTTAGATAACGGGTACTTACTGCCTGTGGCACGTCGCACCACACTGTGGGTGAAGTTGCCCAATGCTGCCACCGTCACAATCGAGTCCTTTTTTCCAGTGCTTAGCTGTGAAAGACGGTAAGTTGAAAGACGGTAAGATCGGGCAAGAGGGGCTTGGGTATTGGGGATTGGAAGGCGTATTTGGTTACCTTTTCGTAGTCAGCCTCGTTCTTGGCCTGAAGCGGATTCAGGAGCACCTGGTGGCACAGATTATCGCCCGTCCCACTGCCGCAGGTTGCACTGCCCGCAGTGCTGCCGTTGACGTTGCCGTCACCCTGCTGGAGGGCGACTCCGCCGCAGCTGCAGCGGCGAAGACGGCTGCGCCGCAGCTTGATGCAGAACAGACGGCTGCCATCCTTTTCAGTGGCGTCGAGGGAGAGGGGGACGGAATTGGCTGCAGTGGGGCCAGCGTTGGTGTTGGCGTTGGCGGAGGCGGAGGCGGAATTGGGGAGTGTGCTTGGCGAGCAGCCCATGTCGAAGTCCTGCTTCTGACTTTTCCTCTGCTCTGCTTCTGCCTTAGACCCTCTGAACGTGGCACCCGGGACGTGTTCCTGTGGCGGTTGCTATGCTAAATTGCTCTTGGTTACGTATTAATTTGGTTCTGGTTCTGGTTTTGATTTTGGTTTCGGTTGTGGTTCCTTGGATGGATGATTGGCTGCCTATTCCTCTTCCACTGCTTTGCCTGCTCTGGCCTACGCTTCTTCCGCCTCGGCTCCTTCGGACACGGCCAATGCGGCTCTGTGGTTGCTGCTGCTGCTGACGTTTAATTGCTCTCGAAGATTCAGTTGCTGCTGCCTCTGGTGTTGCTGTAATTGTTGTTGTAGCTCTTCTTGTGGTTGCCGATAACATAATTGAAACATTTTTGGGCAGCGGTCTAATGATTGACTGACGATTGCCGGCTTGCCACTGCCTCACATTTTTCCCAAAACTGAAAAGAGGGGAGAGAGCAATGGCAGGGAGAGAGGAAGGTACGTTATTAATGGCCCAATCAAAATGCATTGTGAGTTTTGCGGATAATCATGGGGGAACTGCATTTCTTTAATTTCTCATGTGGTTTACGGAAAAACTGCAGCACAGCCCTAAATATTCATTCATTTGAGTATATTTATGGATGAGGCAGGGATAAGGTGACAATTATTCTACCTTCTACCTTTGAATATTTCCATATTGTTCTAAGGCATTTAAAGGAACCCTTCCTTCCCTCAGTTTGCCATCACTGACCTATACTCTAGTTGGCTTTTGGCCGAAACTCTACTACGGACCCCAAGAAACCCATTAATTGACAATGATAAATGCAAATGATAAGCGATGAGCTGCCTTAAATTACGGTTACGAGAAGACTTGAGTGCTGTGTTGGTGCCAGGGAATAACCATGGAAGGCCAAGTCGTTTCATTGAAACTCTCATCGTAAATGTACGAGGCACCCGCATAATTGTCGTAAGAAAAAAAAACAAAAACGAAAAAAAACGTCTCAGGCTGATTGTTATAAATTCATAAAGGCCCAAATATTGGCAATGATTATCGAAGCCAAGGCGAGGTGGTGCTCCGTGGCACGTGACCGGACCACCGACCTACCTATGAATAATGCCCAGTCAGAGTCAGAGTCAGAGTCCGAGATTTGTATCGGCTCCTTCCCTTTGGAGTCCCAAAAGTTGGACAACTCTGAGGGACAGCCATCAGGGCGGACGCTTGGCGGACACTTGATTTTCTCGCGTGCCATATTGCCCTATTGCGTATGGATTTGATGGTATGTGTGTCCAGTCCAAGTCGCACGAAATCTTTAAAGGAGTCTTTAACGAAAGCAAAGCCCTGACAAGCAACGACTGTGCCTGATGTGCAATAGAACGGAACGGATATTAGTTGCAAAGTCCTTCGACATTGACATCTCAAAGACGACCTGCTTCAATTAGCGGGCGGAACATGCCACTCAACCCCGTTCTCTGCCTCCGTTTCTGGAGGGGATCCTGATCATGTCTGTTGGTGAAAGTTTGCGTCCGCTCCCAGAGGAAGTGGCTGGCCAAACCGGAGATAGTCTTATCCCCAGCGACATTGATTGACTTGTCAAAGGCAAAGGCAAAAGCAAAAGCAGAGGCTGTCTTTCATCTGCATAAATACATGTACTATGTATCTATAAGGAGACTTGTTGTCTCTCCAGCTGGGTGCCTCCGACTGTTGCATTGTCGGTTGCAAAAGACAAAGGCGTCACTACAGAAGGCGCAAACAGGAAGATAAACAGCCCCAGAGCCAACAAAGGCATCATCCACATCTCACAGCGCCAGCACCAGTCCCAGCCAAGACAATGGGATAGAGGAGGTAGGTGAGAGTGGGGGAGAGGAGGTAAACACGATAGATTCCCCATCGAGTATGCACAGATCGGTGTAGTCTAGTCTATGGTGTGTTTGTTGATTTAAACAAATTATTTTTAGACGCGGGCCATATTAAAACGAACAAATAATGGCTTTCGCTGTTCACTTTGGCTCATTTAAGTTTTCAAATAAATAAAGAGCGCCCTGCCCCCTCCCCGTGGGTACATGTACGTCTACGTAATTTGTTGCCAAGGACAGGTGGCATCTTGCTGCCAAGCTCTGCTCTGCCCTGCTACAGCGCCTTGCGGTATGCAACCAACTGTGCCCCCACAAAGTGCCAAATTCCGTTGGGCCCCGCCACTGGCTGCAGCAGTCAGCAGGCTCCGTCACGGCTGCCTGGGGCAATCCGATTAGTATGCAGGTGCTTGTGGTCTCCAATAGAATTGCCAGCCAAACTTACGTATTCGTATTCCCAGACAAATATATAATCGTGGCCGCAGCTGTACATATGTATCAGTATGTATCAAATGGAGCCTGGCCATATACGAAACGAAGCTGGCGCAGTCCATAAGAAGAACATCGAACACCAAACATCGAAACGCATTTCAGCAATTTTGTATCTAATAGTTTTTGCCAACTGATGTTCTGCAGCTGCCTGAGCGGACTGGACTGTGGTTTTCTGTTTACATTACATGCCTGCCTATAGCGCCGTCTTTAAATATTTTATACGACTCTGATTCCCTATAGAGATATTCGGATATCACGCACTCATGGCATAGCTGTATGACATTAGACTTTTGCAAAAACAGAGACAGACAGCCTTATGGGGAAAAACAGTAATGTGAATTATGGAAATCCATGATACATTTCGCAGTTTCCTCCAAGTCTCCTGAATCAGCTTCCTCTTGGGTCCCAAATGTCGGCAAACATCCTCGAAATTGTTTGTGGATGATCGCAGGGGGGGCCTTGAGGCCTCACAATGAAACAGAAACTAATCTTTTACAAGCGGAAGGCTGGACACTGCCCAATTAATAATGAACGTGAAAGAACACGCACACAGACAGGCAGACAGACAGAGATGCCGAGAGAGAGAGAGAGAGAGAGAGAGACAGAGACATACATATACATAGGCTCTGCCTACAATATCAATGGGAGACTTTTCCGGCCGTTTGACAGAGTTTGCCAGTTGAAAATTTGAATTTCAAATGGCGATCTCAAGCGCGAGATAACACAATAGATGGATGGGTGTATGGGTATGGGTGCAAGGCATGGAAGGGGCGGTGGGGGGCCACAAAGTGTCGCAACGGAATATCCAGAATCTGAATCAGATTCGGAATCACAACTAGAACCAGTCCCACTACTGCGATTAGAGGGAGCTGTGGCGGGTGTAGAAGAGAGCGAGAGAGAGAGCAGATTAGTGAGTGCTGATTGCCGCAAGCGGTTGACAATACAGCCAGCCGTGCTGCGCCGCCATTTGGCGAACTGCGAATTGAGCTGCGAATAAAGTTGGACGGAAGAGCCTGCAGACATGCCAACTATGGGGTTGGAAGGGGGGGTTGCAGGGTGCAGGGTGCAGGTTGCAGGTTGCATAACTGTAGTTATAATAATACAAGAAATGTACAAGGTATTTCTCGCTCTTTTCGTTCAGCTGCTCGATGATTTTCTTTTGCTTTTCCCCCACTCCGCCCCCTGCTGGTGTTTATTTGTTGTTTGGTGCGTTCGAATTCCGTTCCGCTGAATATTCCCCCATCAGTATGCAGGGTAGCTATGCGGATTTATTTGCTGTTAACAATACCAAACACCCCGCGCGTCTTAGCGTTACACCAACAACTCGACAGCTCTCGACAATATCAGTCGAAAGCATTCATTCCCTTTTAATAAACAGTTAAAATCGAGAATTAATTAAGCCCACCACGAAAAATACTGATTGGTAGAGGGAGTGGGAGAGTGGGAGGGCCTACCCACCTATCGCACAGATAGTGAAAATGAAAAGGAATCTACGGAATGAATATGTGTACGCGTATATACTGTACAATACAATACTATACTGTACGTATGTATGTACATATGTAGAAATCAGTCATTAGATAATCGCCGAAATGGGTCAGTCCCCCCACGAGTCCCTCGATATACACAAAATCGAAAGGGGGCCCAAAAATCGAAACGAGTCTGAAATAATGAAAAATGAAAAATGCAAAATGCGAACGCCAATTGCAAATTTATTGTGGCTTGTTTATAAGTACAGCGAAGCGATATTTTTCGCATTGTTTATGGCAACCTTACTTCTCGACTCCCCACCCCCTCGCCACCCCCTGCACGGACACGGACTTGCCACCGAGCGGACACTGCGACAACATTTTAAGCGGTATTTTTATGGGAAGCCATGTACCCCCCTGCCCCCGGCCCCACCGGTCTCACCGTCCCAGCGTCGTATTCAGGCCGTATTCAGATAAATTAAAAACTGAAAATGTTTTTGCGACGCCAGTTGCATGAGAAGTTCCCCTCCCGCTCCGTCAACTACTTTTAACCGAAATTTTATTATATTTTATGTTATTTTATTTTATGATCTTTTTGGAGGGCACCTGCCAGACGACTCGGGCACTTTCAAGGTGGATATACAACCGATTGGGGCTAACTATATCTTGTATCTGTATCCAACTGTGTGTAAGAAGTGCCCCCCTCCCCCAGTCGAAATTCCGCGAAAATTAAAACAGAAATGTCCAACCAGAACAAACGTATGTATATACATATATGTATATGTATATCTCGCACAATATATTATCTGTTGACGTACCAGAAAATTCGTCGCTTAGTTGTGGCTGCCTCTGATTTTTTTCATATACTACTTACGTATACTTTCTTATTTTAATATTTATATCAGACTCTAGATATAAATTAAACAAATACACATGAACAATGGTGTTTGGGGTCGGGGGGGAATACGCACTCTTGACAAATATTGGGGGACACACGCACACACACAAACACACTGAGTGAGTATGCTCTCATAGATACTCGGCGGCACTTCTTCGCGCATATAATATATGTACATGTGTACATGTGTATGTATCGCCAGAATAACAATAAGAATACAATTTTCGTTGCTCTTTCGTTCTTCCACAAATTAGAATTTATTTTAATACGCGGGAGGTCACGTTCATCGCACGGATGTGGTATTGTGCTGTGCTGTGCTGTGTTGTGTGCTTGTTGTTGCTGTTGACGCACAAGATATTGCAAAATATGTATGTAGATACACGAATCGTAAATGCAATGCATTAAAAATAATAATAGCAGCGGCAGCACCCACTGTGTCGTCACACAAATGTAGTAGCAGCAGCAGCAGCGGCACCGATAACACCACGAAGTATCTGAGAGATACAATTGGCTCATATTTACTGCTGCTGCTGCTGCTTCTGCCGATGCCGCTGCCTTTGCTGCTTCTGCCAACACACAGGCACACACACGCACACACACACGCATATTGATCAGCAATCGAATGAATATGATATTCGATTACAGCGGAGTTGGAACTGGAGAGAGGGGGGTGGCTGGCACTGTTTTTAGTGGGTGGGGGAGTGTAGTGCTTTCTGCGTAAGATGCACGGGACTCACAACTAAAAGACGACGACGACGACGACGACGATCAGACCGACCCCGAGAATGAGCGAGCGGATCGGATCGAATCGAAACAGAGCGGCGATCGACGGCGACGGTTGCCTGTCAAAGCAAAACGTCAAATGAAATGATTTTGCTCCCAGCTCCGGCTCGTACGAAACACACAAAAGAAAACGAAACGAAACACAGACGCACGGAGCGCAAAAGGCAAACGAACGAAAAGCAACCAAATGGTAGAAAAACTAAAACAATCTCTGAGAGCGACGATACCGACAACAGCAGCAACAACAACAGCGCGAACGAGAAGTACGAGTACAACAAGTATGTATCAGAGTCTGAGCTTGAGAGCGCAAGAGAGCTGTGAGAGGCAGCAGAATGAATAAACATACATATATGTATGCACACATGTGTGCACCGAAGAAAAGAAATCAAAGCCAAATAGCTGAGCGCAAGGGAGAGCAGAGAGCACATTGCGTTGGAGCTGATCGCGTGAGAGAGTTCAGGCTGTTCGATATATATCAAGGGGAGTTGGTGGACCCGGTGGAAAGTATTTGAGTTACCTTTTAATGGGAGATAATAAGATTCCACCGATTGTTTATTGAAATACGGAAATGCATAGGGACCTTCTGACATTATTAGCGGGTCAAAAGACTATAAACAAACAAGACTTCTAAAATTTGGTAAATTAGTAGAATTCAAAAAGAAAGCTCTTAAAGCAAAGTGGAACCTAATTGGAAACTTTACTTGATTGAAAAAGCAGTGAGTGTGTCATTCGAATATTCGTATTTTTATACACCGGAACAATGAACCTTGAAATTTTTATAGCTGGAAAAATCATAGATCTATGATTCCCAAAGTTCATGGTTTTCCGAATATCGGCCATTTTGCTCTTCCCATCGATAGGTGTCTCGTCCCCCATTGTGAAGGGTACTTTTATACAAAGTGTAAGGATTGCTATTATGTAGATGCATGTTCTATCACTGTGGAAGTGTGTATGATTAGGAGTGGAAGGTGTATATCCACAGATTACGAGATAAAGTTCAAATCTACTTTGAATAATATCATCTTCTATGATCAGAGTAATCAGAGAGATCCAAACTGTTTATTGATCCGGACTTTGAAGCATTTCCTGTGACACTGTCAGTGTTGCTGTCATTTTGTTGATAGCAGAGCTGCACTACTCAATGGAAGTGGAATCAATGGAAAAAATCAGGGATGACTCGTCCGGCTATTCAATCAAGTAGTATATATTCGTACCTTTCACCCCGGCGAAACCCAACCCACTCTTGCTCTGGTAGGACTCTCTGCATCCCGCAAGCAGCTTAACTTTACTGAGACCCCGGCACACAAACTCACAAAAACACACACACAAAACACATGCAAAAGTACACAAACACACTCATACACGCATATGCACGGAACAGTTCTTGTGCCTGTGCTTGTGCCTGGCCCCCTTGATGAGCTTATATTCATCCTAGTAAGAGCATATTTGCTGTTTTTTCCTTCCTTCATCTGGTAATTGTAATTGCGTTTGCCTGAGCTCCCAAACTCCTGGCTTGGCTCCACTATCAATTAGCTGGAGCTAGTTTTTTGGGGGAGGGAGAGAAAAATCACGACATGCCGAGGCTTCCTAAGGGGTAACACCATATTCACATCAATTTGGCACAACGGGGTTTTGGGGATTGGGGATTGGGGCTCGGGGGCTTCGGGGGAAAATGTATTACCTTATGCAAATTGCTTGAGAATTGCAGCCTGATGACAGTCCTGTGATACCTAGAGAACTTCGAGCACTGGAAAGCACTTTAACTTTAATTTTTTGCCGCTGAATGCACTCGGGGATCTGTGGTGGATTGTACGTTTATATATGTATATATAAAGTATATACATATATTTGTGGTGGTTGGTTGTATTGTAAATCACAATTGCGAGCCGATAAAAAAATCAACGTAGATTCATTGACGGACTAGGACCGACCGACGCGTCGGTAGCAGCGGGAACAAGCGGAATGTTTTCCCACTGGAAGCGTGCTGCCGATTTTGGTTTGGCTTTTGCTTTTACATTTGGCTTTGGCTTTGGTTCTGGCGCTGGTTCTGCCTTCTGCCTAATGGCAATGGATAGACACGATGTGGCCCAGACTGACGGGCAGTCAGGCAGTCAGTTAGGCAAGCCAGTGAGTCCAAAAACAGCGGGGAAAACCTGTGCCAGTGCCAGTGTCTGTGCTGTTGTGGCTGTGTGCCTGTGTGCGTTTGTATCTGTATCTATATCTGCCGCAAACGGTACAACTGCGAGCTGCGCTGCGGGTACGAGTATCTATCAATTCTGCCAAAACTGAACTAAACTCTCAAGTGTGCAAAAAATTCTACATAAGTCGAGTGCTGTTCTGTTCCCGTCGTCGGCGTCGTTGTAGTCGTCGTGGTCGTTCCACATCATCGTGACACCCGAACGCTTATGTTGAGCAGCCCCAGCAGCAGCAGCAGCAACAGCAGCAACAGCAGAAGGAGACGCTTCCCCGCCTCTGCCGCACACACGGATACAAACAAAGCATGCTTGTTGCATGCCCGCAAATGTTGAGATACAAAACGGTGATACCTGTATGTGTGTTTGTGTGAGTGGAGAGCTTTCTGATAAGGGTGAAGTTGAAGCTGCCTCCGCGCTGCTCCCAGCCAAGCTTCCCAGGGAACCTTAGGAGGGATGAATGAATGTATGTATTTTCATTGTACATATTCCTGCTGCTCCTGCTGTCGCTTGCCCCCAGAAGTAGGCAACAATCTTTCGTCCGACGAAGGCAGGGCGTAATGCGCAGGCGTCGCTGTCGCCGCTGCTGTGCCTGCCGCTGCCTGCAGTGGCAAGCTTTTATGCTCGGCAACATTCTGTCGAGCTGCGGGACAACTGTTGCTTGCGTACAGGCCGTAGGTCGAGCCGCGGCAGGCACGCACACACATACCATACCATATAAACACATGCACAATGACTCCTCCCCTCCGTCGCACTCTGTGTACTAAAAAAGCCACACAATTGTTGTATTAAACATGTGATGCTATGCGATGCGATGTGTGTGTGACTGGGGGTAAACATGTTTGTCTCCCGCTCGTGCTCGTGCCGCGTGCGTCTTCTTTTATCCTTTTCGTGCTCGTGCTCCTGCTCCTGTTCGTGCTCGTGCTCGGGCCTTCCCCGCTGCCCCACACATCAGCTGGGTAATTTTACATTTCTTTTTTAAAGCTTAGTTTGTATTGGTAAATAATAGAGGTTACTTCCCGCTCGGCACCAAAAAGGGCAAACCGCTATTGTACTTTATGTACCTCATGCTGGGGGGCATTGGGCATTGGAGGCGGGGAGGCGGGGAAGCGGGGAGGGATACGTCCTGTATCTTGTGCACGAAAGCACATTATATAAAATTTATAAATACTTTTAAGCGCCGCTGCCTGTCAAGGTGCGTGTGTGTCTGCCCCCAAGTATAGCTGTGTTTGTGGGTGTCTCTGTGGGTGATTTGGTTCGGTTGGGCTTTGGGTGGCCATAGGCCGATTGGGTGCGATGCCAACTTTATTACTGTATTATTGGCCTTTAATTTGAGCAGCAACATCAATATACATACACATGTATGTTTAATATATGTGTAGGTACATATCATCCATAAATAAATACATATATTTCCCAGTTGCCGTTCCCTGCGCTTTCCATTGTTTGGGGCTAATTTCTGTAATGTAATGTTTTTGGTTATTCGTTCCTTTGTGTCAGCAAGAAAATGCTCGCAGCCATGCCACTGCTTCTTCTCCTCGCAACAAAATATTCACGATTTATGGAGGGGCCGCTTCCTGATTAGTTGGGTAATTCGAGACCGAACACATTCACAGCACGTGACCTGCAGCATTCCCCTGGGAGTTATTTATTCTTTATATTCGCCATTTGTTACACCTGGCTGTCAGCTGGTCTCTGCTGCAATCATCTGCAACAAGTTGTTGGCTTTGTTTATTTATTGCTAATTGAATAGCTCTGATTGACCAATGACAGTCGCTAGCCGCATTCCTGGTGCACAGGACATTTGATTAAATGGAAATTCCTGACAAATTGCAACCACAAAGTAAACTTCAAACGCTGTTTGAAATCCCCCCCAAAACCACAATAATTTTCATAAATTTCATTGAAATAATTGCAGCACAGAGAGTATAGTATAAATATCTGTGGCTTTGCCATCAAATGACGTCTCAGAAATTTCCATTACCCTTGGAATCAGTTGTTGTCGTTGGGCAGATTTTGTACAGAGACTTGAGAATAATTCTGCAACCTTTAAAGCCAGCTTTTAATCGCTAAGCTGTACTGGCCAAAAGCTCAAGGCTTAATAGCAAGAAATTAAAGAAACAGCAAATTTTAATAGGAAATATATGAAGATGATTCAGTGTTTCATAAATTTTCAGAGCGATTGTAGCAGCCGTGAGTGGGCCAGGGCAAGGGAAACCACTCAGGCCCAGGCTTTATCCGTTTATAGCCATGGTTCTAAACGCACTTGCCACTTATCAAGGCTCATTGCCGGGGCATAACAAAGTTGCGTCCGTAAGTCATTATGCTGATGGTCCAGCAGAGGCCTCCCTCCACTCCTCTCTCTCTCAGCACAGAATGTGGCTCCCCGCCACAACCATCATTATGCATTAATGTAGTTAGCACCCGAGACCTCACCTGGGCCTACACCTACACCTACACCGCCGCCATTTACAGCTGTCTGACTGGTCGTCGTCCTCTGGGCGAGAACAATTTCACGGATCCATTGTTTTCAACAACATTTGCTTTTCATCACTTTGTTTGGTGTGCATTTTGTGGGTTTCCCCCGCTATCCATCCATCCTCCCTACCCCCTACTCGACCAACCGGTGAGTATGATGATAATCTACGGCCCCTTCTGTGTGTTTATGACTTTTTCGCCTTGTGAAAATTGAAGCCAGGCAAGAAAAACATAAAGAGCAAATATTTCTTTTGTTTTATAAGAGAAGGAACAGAACCGAGCCGCCGTATCGTATGCATCGGAGTAAGGGCTGTGCAGTGCTGTGCTCCTTTGAGTGATTCTCATGTTGTTTGCTTTTGCCACTTCGATCCGTGCCCTTC